GGTTTTTCATAATGATTGGTGTTGAGATATACGATTTTCAAAATTTTGAAATTTGCGTAACAACATTTTTCCATGTCTACTATATAACCGAAACTGGAGTTATCATGACTCTACCACGCACCAAATGATCAATTATGGCCCATTCACTTCCTATTTCACAAGCACATATCTCCTACATATTTTATGGAATGAACCAGATTAATATGCAAACTCAGTCACATTAGTAACAAAAAAATGTTCATAGAATTTCACCTAATTATGTGATATGCAAGGTAGTCCCCAAATTTGGTTGAGATCGAACTCATATACTCAATCTAATTACAACTTACATCACCTGAAAGGACCATGCCCTTTTTTGGGTCGAAAATGAGATGCTTACTATTTACTAAGCACCCTAACTCTGATCTATTACATAAGTTGACCCAACTTTAGATAGCTACAATCAATAAAATGTTAACCAAAACTAGTAGAGTGCTCATCATTTGCAAGATAATCCGTAGCAAGATTGCATTCTCTTCATGTATGTGAAAGTGAAAGTTTCGAATCATAACCTAATAACTCCTAATTTTGATGACAACAATATGGTTATGATGTTCATTATTTGTATAGCTCTTGTGAACACTCAAGACCATATGATAATCCAACTTAGTTTGAAGTTTCGTGATCCTCGTTATTCATTCCATCTTCATTCCTTCTAAGACTACCCACCATGACTCGACTCGTGTGGTAGTACAAGAGACGAGGTTAGTTGTCAAGGCAACAACGCATATGGTGTTTGAGTCGCAAATTAGACATCATGTGCTATTACTTTACCATCACTTCGAGTATAACCATGATCCTTTTTAACTATTTAGAGAGTCCACATTACCCTTTTCCTTATCAGTACTTTGTACAAATTGATATACTGATGTGAAAACCACGTAAGTTAGGGATGTGCATTGAGTGGTTTGGGTGTGTTTTGGTGAAAAAATCAGCTGGCCACAGGTAAGCAGGTGAGCATAAATACAACACACACTCACCCAAACACACAAAACAATGGGTGGGTTAATGCGGTTTACTGGTAGATCAAGTGTTTCTCATAAAATAGAAAAAAAAAAAAACTTGAATCAAGATAAATTTAAAACTAAATCTCAATCAAAATCAATGCATAAAGAAATGTAAGCTCCCAGTGATAATTATAGGCGAAAAAATCAATGTGCTACATCGATGGAGATTTCACCAGAACATAAAGATGAAAGCTAATTGCTTGGAGAATTTTTTTTTTTTACTGTAAACAAAGAAAATTTGGAATGAAAGATTTTATTGAAAATTATTTAAGAAAAAACGTAAAGTCGGAAATAAATATTGAAAATCAAAGATTTCATACAGAATTCATTTGATAAAGTTGTCAAATCATGATTTTGTCGAGAAAATAGAGAAGGAAAGAATTTGATTGAGGACTAAGGAAATTACGGATTAAGATATTGATAAAGGAGTTTAGGGTGATCAAATGGGTGGGTCGGTTGTTCTAGACCTTCACCCGTCACCATGGTGGATGTAGTTGAAAGCAACCCTGCCCTTATCATTAGTATCGTGGACTTGGTGGATGACCCGTCCAATGCCCATTCCTAACGGAAGTAAAATCGACAAAGATTGACGAAGTAACTCTTCTAATAGCTATTCTCATACGAGTGTCCAATTATCTAAAATCAAAATTAAGTGACCTCTTGGTTGAGAACCCAAAGTTTAGTTACCATTTCTGTAGTTGACCCTAAACTATACATTGTTACAAAATTGGCCCCAGCCGCTGCTCAATAGACGGCGGAGATAAAGGAGCTGATGTCTGTTGGAAGAGAAGAAGAAAGGGAGAAAGACGACGACCTTCCTCCGCCAAAGCATCGGTGCTGCCGATGAATGATTTTTTTTTTTTTTTTAAAGTAGAATCGATTCGAATATGAAAGAAACCGCGTGAACTGCCCTCCACGCGCTGCTTCTTCTCTCCTTCTTCTTTTCTTTTTCTTTTGCTTTTTTCAGCTTAGCGGTCGGTCGGATAAATGGTCACACACCAGAAACAGAGAAGACAACAGAAGCAGACAGTGAGTCCCAAAAATACACATTATAAACTTTTTTTTTTAGTTCAATTCCAAGCTTTGTTCTCCATTCGATGTTTTTCATGCTCTTCCCTCAGCTATCCGACAAGCCGCTAAGAAAACTGGTTGTGTAATTGCCGCCATTTTCCCCTTCTTACAGTTGGCGCTTGTATCGCATTGTACGGCTATCACTTTCCAGCGATTGAATCAAGCAGAATAAGAAGAGAGAGGGGAGACGAGGTGAAGGAAGAAGAAGGGAAAGTAAGAATGACCCATTTCATTTCATCATCGATACTTCCGGAAAGAATTGTTTTTTAGCTGAATTTAAATATGGGTGGTCGCGATTTTTGTTTGTCTTGCCTCATTCTCCTATCTAGATGCTAGGGTTTGAATTGTTGTTCTTTGTGTCTTGAAATTGGGTTCAATTCAATCCCTTCTTCCTTTTGCGGTCAAGGTCATATATAGGGTTTGTCAGTCGGATAAAAATGTTGAGCAAAGTTTTGATGGTTGTTGTGGTGGTGGTACAGATTCTTTGATCATCCGTACTGTACCATTCTTCATCGGCTAGCTACTGAAGCAGCTGCCAACTGCCTCCCATTTCGTGGTTTTAAATAAGGTTTTCGAAGGGTTTTTTTGTGAGACCTCAAATGTGTGATACCATGCGGCAATCCTCACCAAGTCTAGGCCTAGAAGAGAGCAACAACAACAGCAGCAGCAGCAACAAGAGAATTGGGTTGCCTCCTTCTCATCCAAACAGCCCTCACATCTTTGGTTCTGGGGGTGCCGGAGGTGGCGGAGTAGGGCCGTCTCATTTGAGGTCATTGTCTCAATCCTCCATGTTTTCGCTAGATTGCCTCCCTCCATTGAGTCCCATGCCTCATCACCCCTCGGTTCCATCTCCGGTGGCCATGGAGGAAAAGGCTGGATTGCCACCTCGTAGAGGGCACAGGCGATCGATGAGCGACACTGTTCCATTAGGGTTCTGTGCCATGATCCAGTCTTCTCCTCAGTTGATACCTATACCGGGTCAAGGTGGGTTCGATTTCGTGAAGCAGGAGTTGGGTTGGGGGGGAGATGGAGATGGTAATGTGGAAGGGATGGGTGAGAGGCGACAACAAGAAAGGGAGCCTACTGATGAGATGTTGAGTGCTTTTATGCAAATGGATAATATTGATCCGCTGAATTCATCGGGGACTGAGGATAAGGATTTGGACAGCAGGGCGAGTGGTTCTAAGTTGAATGGGTCTGAGAGCAGTGATAACGAGGCAGAGAGTCATGTTAAGGGGCTGAAGAGGAGTGCCGATGCTGATATTGGGCCTGCTGGTCGACACCATAGGAGCGTGTCAATGGATAGCTTCATGGGAGGTTTAAGGTTGGATGATGAGTCGATGAAGCTTCCTCCTAGCGCGAACCGAGTTGGTCAACTTAGCTCGCCTTCCAGCTCAATGGAGGGGAATTTCAGCAAGTTCAACTTGGAGTTTGGGAATGGTGAGTTTACTGACGGGGAACTCAAGAAGATAATGGCTAATGACAAGCTTGCCGAGCTTGCAATGGCTGATCCAAAACGGGTTAAAAGGTAATCTTATTTCTTTTCTTCAAGTTTTATCAGTCTATATTGAATATTTTCTCATATTCTGCTCAATAAACACTGTAGGATATTGGCGAATCGTCTGTCTGCTGCTCGGTCCAAGGAGCGTAAAATGAGGTACATTTCTGAATTGGAGCAAAAGGTGCAAACTTTACAGTCAGAAGCAACTACATTGTCTGCCCAGGTTACAGTTTTACAGGTTGGTAGTCTTACCTCACCAGCAAGAATTCTCTTTGTCTGTAGTCCTTGTGTTCTTCTTTACTCACAAATAATCTCGCCTTTATGCAGCGTGATTCCTCAAATCTCACAAGCCAGAACAATGAACTCAAATTCCGCCTTCAGGCAATGGAACAACAGGCCCAGCTCAAAGATGGTATGTCTCTTCTGATGCATTAAAGATTTGTAGACATAATTAGCTAAGATGACCATAATGGTCTCATTACTTTCGACGCAAGGTTTTTGGTAGAATCTTAGATTTTTGGGCAGTTCTGGTACATAGTTTGTCCTCTATTTTCGGTATAGATTTATGTTTTCTCTACATTGTTTTCGTGTTGCAAAATTGATTCAATAATCTCCTCAAACATTTTGATCGATCCTCCCTTGCGACTATAGTCAAATTTGAGCATGTACTGACAAAATGGTGTTCTTAGTACCGGTCAAAGATAGTCAATTTGACTGATTGACTCCCTATTTGAAAGTGGATCTCGAAACTGTAGACGAGAAATGCTGATTCTTTCCCCCACTGTTTGACGTGTTGGCAGCTCTGAATGAGGCACTGGTTGCAGAAGTCCAACGACTGAGGCTCGCTGCGACAGAGCTTGGAGGAGCAGATGCTCATCCTCATCAGCAGCTTCCTGCTAATCATCCTCTAATGCAACAGCAGCAGCGTCAACTTCCCGGTCAAACGAATGCATATCATCAGCAGCAGCTAAACCAATCATCGCAATCTCGAAGCAGCGAATGAGTGTTGATTTGGAAACCTCTTGCACAGTCTGGAATTCATGGTACAAGATAATATTAGTACAAAGGGTTCATGATATAGATTGAGACAATTCATATTATATTATATATCACATACCATTCTTTGGGTGAAGAAAAAAAGGGGTGATTTATTTAGGTTGGAGGGAGAGATTACAGACTACAGATTTACAGAAGATTACTACAGAGTCAGTAACTAAACCATTCATTTGTTCTTTGTATTTGTTTATCAGCTTGATGTTCGATTTCTCCTATTCATCATTCTTCTTTAGCAAAGACATAAATCGTGCCTTCCATTTAAGAAGGCACTGTTGTAGTGTTTGCCCGTAATACAGAACCTTGGATATTTGGAAACTCTGTACTTCCTTTTACCCTTCCATTTCTTTTTTCTTTTTCAGTTAGTCACTTACTATAATATATTGACATTTGCATACTATTTTTTTATTGGTCATTTGCATACTATTTTGATGTTACATCTTCACAATTTGGAAGTCATTCTAATCTAACACTTACTGGAAATATTCAGGATCTATGTTTAAACCACAAATCATAATAACAAAAAGGGTATTAGCATTCAAATCCGTTCTCTGTGATCATACTCATCACAACCGGAGTGTTAAAACTATCAATCAAAGCAAAAAATTGTAATGGGTTGAGATAAATTCTTTTGACAACGGGAGCGTCAAACCTATCAATTAAAGCAAAAATTGTAACGGGTTGAGATAAAAAAAAATGTAGTCACGAGTCACGGCAAGCTCATAATATGGTGCTTGGCACGTTGATGGCAACTACCCCATACTTACTGCAATGACTCTATGTTAGAGACAAAGCTGAAAATCATATAGGGGTCGTTTGGATGGAACATTCTCAAAATGAGACAATTTGGGACAAAAGTATTATTTTAGAAAAGGGTTAATTGCATGGTTGGTCACTGAGATTATAAAAAACGTTCATGTTTGGTCACTGAAAATATTTAAATCCAATCTTGGTCACTCAAATTAGTTAAATGGTTCAAGTTTGGTCACTCTCCATCCAACTCCGTTAAATTTGTCTGATGTGGCAGTCAACCCTCAAAGTTGACCGTTAACTCAGTGACGTGGCAATTAAAAAATAATTAATAAAATAAATTTTAATGTTCTATCATTTCCAACTCATTTTCACAATAAAGTAAAATAAAAAAATAAAAAAAATATTATAATTATAAATTGAAAAGGGGCGATTCCCTTTTGGTCGGCGGCGCATTACAAGACGAAGAAGACCGTGGAAGGAAGAAGGCGGCGGCGAGGGCGGCGGAGTACGCCGGGCATAACTCGAGAGGATGAACTGGGGATTGGATAGGTGATTATGAGAAGAAAGCTGAGAAGGAAGGGAAATATAAAGGAAGGAAGATGGGGAATAGATGGTTGGAACTGCGTCTGAAGGGGAAGCTCGAGAGGATGAAAAGGAGAGGAGACGGCAGGTAAAAGATCTCCTGAAGGGAATAGATGTTTGGTTTGGGAAGATGGATAATTTTGATAGACCGGCTCAAAATCTGATAATCATCTTCGAGGGGCCTCTCTTCGTTGAAGGGCAGCTGGACAGTGGAAGAAGGAAGGAGTGGCTCGAGTGTGTCGGCAGAGTGCAAACTGTAAACTGACCTCTCGTCGTCGTCGTTGATGGAGTTGATCAAGATTTGAAGACCAGGATCCACAGATTTATCTCGCAGGATGAAGGAGGGATCTGTGAAGAGAGCGCGCCATGATTTGCAGAAGCAGCGGAATCGGCCAGTCCACCGCCGATCGGAAGCCTCGACAAGATGTCATTGATCAGATCTTCTGGGAATTCTTTCTTCATCTCTGCCGCCCCTTCACCGCCCTCGCCGCCGCCTTCTTCCCCTCCACGGTCTTCTTCGTCTTGTAATGCGCCGCCGACCAAAAGGGAATCACCCATTTTCAATTTATAATTATAATATTTATTTATTTATTTTACTTTATTGTGAAAATGAGTTGGAAATGATAAAAGATTAAAATTTATTTTATTAATTATTTTTTATTGCCACGTCACTGAGTTAACGGTCAACTTTGAGGGTTGACTGCCACATCAGACAAATTTAACGGAGTTGGACGGAGAGTGACCAAACTTGAACCATTTAACTAATTTGAGTGATCAAGATTGGATTTAAATATTTTCAGTGACCAAACATGAACGTTTTTTGTAATTTCAGTGACCAACCATGCAATTAACCCTTTTAGAAAATGAGCTAATTGTATGAGAAAATGTTTACATAATTGTCTTGTTTGGCTTGTGATTTGACATGAGACAATTGTGATTAGTCATTTTATGAAAATACATATTTGTCATCATTCTTTTACTCTTCTCCATCTTGGGAAAGGAAGAAAGAAAAAAGAGAGTAAATAAAAGAGGTTAGATTGGGAAAAGTGACCCACAAAATGGAGCTATGTAGATTACCTCCCTCCCACCCAAGTAATTAACATTGACCCATAATGAAGCAATTTCAATTGTCTCATGTCCAATTGTCTCATTCCTACTTTTTGTAGCCAAATGGGACAATTTGGCCCAATTGGCTCTTTTTGAATTAATCGGAGTACATTGACTCATCACTTTGATCCATCCAGACGACCCCTAGAGTAATTTTTTTTTTACAAAAGATAATCAATAGATTGAAACAAATAGATCATTACATCTTGGAATACAGCCAGGTCCGGAAATCAAAAGAACGACATGCAGTCGGGAACAAAGGCAGGGCCTGTCTAGCTACTAAATGAGCTACCCTATTGTTTCGACGACCTACAAATCGTATGGACAAACCTAAGTTTGAAGCAAAAGAATTGACTATCTCCTCCAGAATCACCCCTATATGACTATCCCGAATATCCTTCCAGAGAATCTTTTCAATTATCACCTTAGCATCACCTTCAAACCTCATCATAGTGAATCCATTAGCCAAACACCATCCAATCGCCTCCCGGAGAGCCAGAGCTTCAACCATCAGTGGATCACTAAGGAACGGGAAATGAACCCCCTTCGCAAGGATAACCGCTCTTTCAGAATTAAGGATAACCATCCCTTCTGCCGCATGAGATCCCAGCCGCACCGCCCCATCCCACATGCAAATTGCCGTATCAGCTCCATCAAACATTATGGTTGGGGCCGGGGTGGGATCAATCTGAACAGTCTGGTCCCGGGGGAGGCTAAGCCACTCCTGCACTTGTTGGTGGAATTGTCGCATCAAGGCAGGGATCGCGAACTGTTTTCCTTCAAAGACCACCCAATTCCGAGAGCGCCAAATCCGCCACAGAATAGCCACTATCGACATCACCAGAGCAGGGCTATGCACCACTGCCAACAATTTCCTCAGAAAAAGCGGGAACGTATGGCGAGGCAAACCTTCACCCAGATGGGCTAGCCCAGAATAATCCCACAATGCACGAGCCACCGGACACTCCAAGAACATATGCTCCAGAGTTTCCGATGCCTCCCAGCACACCGGACATCGAGGCAAGACATCCACCTCCTTCTCACGCAACGCTTCCATTGTAGGAAGAATTCTATGAAAGATTTGCCAGACAAACACCCTAAGCTTTGGAGGGAGATCCGCTTCCCACAGCCTGATCCAACTTGGTTTATCCATCCAACTAACCAAGGCCTTCCATCGACCTCTCTGACGATCCAGATTTACCGCGACGTAGTACACAGACTTAACAGAGAAAATTCCATCAGAAGTCGGATGCCATATCAATTTATCCTCAATATTCAGACGCGACAAAGGGATGGTCTTAATGGCTCTACAGGTTTCTGGGTCAAACCAATGCCTGAGTTTTTGATCATCCCATCGTCCCTCTCCTGGGTGGATGACCTCTTTCACCTTCAACCCCTCCCCACTAGGAACCACGCGTGGGTTATACACTGGAGGACGGGGATGCTGCTGGGGGATCCAACTGGACATTAGCAGAGGAGCCTTCTGACCATTCCCGATTTGCCATCGCAACCCAGACTCCAACAATTGACGGCCAAAGAGGATACTCTGCCACCCCCAAGAGGGACGAGACCTGGCCTGAGCAGTGAGAAACGTCCCATTGGGGAAATATTTCCCTTTATACACTTGGGCAAGAAGGGACTGGGGTTCCTCAAGTATACGCCAACCAATTTTAGCCAGCAAAGCTTGATTAAAGAACTCAAAACGGCGAAACCCCATGCCCCCTTCATGTTTACTAGAGCATAAATTCCTCCAAGAAATCCACCGGATCTTAGACTTTCCTTCCTCCACCCCCCACCAAAATCGGGCTACATGCTTGTCAAGTAGGCGACACAGAGCCAGGGGTAACTTAAAATAGGACATAACATGCAGAGGCAGAGCTAATGCCACTGATTTAATCAATGTTTCCTTCGCCGCCCACGATAATGTTCGCCTCTTCCACCCCTGCAGTCTAGCCAGAAGTTTCTCCTCCAGGTAGCGAAAAGTATCCATTTTTGACCGGGCTATTAGAGATGGGAGACCCAGATACTTATCGTGGACACCCACAGCCCCTACCCCTAAAATTGCAGCCAAGAATTCCTGATCCGCTAGCGCAATATTTTTACTGAAGCACACCGCCGATTTATCCAGATTCACCCTCTGGCCACTCAACTCCTCATATTCATTTAGAACTTCGATCAAATTCTCACATTCTTGGAGGGAACCTCGAAGAAAAAGGTAAGAATCATCAGCAAAGAACAAATGAGAGATACGAGGTGCACGAGGGGCCACTTTGACACCTTGTAGTTTTCCTTCCGAGATAGCTTGACGAAGGAGAGCAGCAAATCCTTCGGTACAGAGGACAAAGAGAAGGGGAGAGAGCGGATCACCCTGTCTGAGCCCTCGGGAAGGGAAAAAAAACCCAGCTGGCGTCCCATTCATGAGGACCGAAAATGATGTAGATTGAAGGCATTCCTGGATCCATCCTCGCCAGACCGAGTTAAATCCCATTTTTTCCAATACCGTAAAATAAAGGGCCATTCGACTCTATCATAGGCCTTTTCCATGTCAACCTTTAGAGCCATATATCCCTTCTTCCCACGGGTTTTGATTTTTAGGTAATGCATTAACTCATGCCCTAAGATAATGTTATCCACTATTTGCCTCTCTCGAATAAAAGCATTCTGGCCCTCAGACACATTCTGGGGCAACACAGGGTTCAATGGGGAGAGCGGCCACTCTCTCGTGCATATTCCCAATATGATTTTCCAGATGTGAATAGGGAACGATAAAAATTTGTAGCAATATCAGCCTTTCCACGCTCCTCCGTGATCCACTCCCCATCCTCATTAAGAAGCCCATTCACAAAGTTTCGCTTACGGCGAGCTCTCGTGACCGTGTGGAAATACGCCGAATTTTTATCCCCTTTTTTTAACCAAGTAACACGGGATTTTTGCTGCCAATACACTTCATCAGCCTCCCATTGTCTACTCAGCTCAGTTTCCAAACGGGACACCTCATGCCAATCAATAGGGTGCACGGTTTTTAGTCGATCTATCTCACCTTGCAAAGTATGAATATTTCGCAGAGAATTAGTGGTACCAGCTCTACTCCAATCATACAGCAAGTGGCGAAGTTTCTTTAACTTTTCCCATAATTGGAACATAGGGGTACCCGAAACGTTCTTGTGCCAAACATACTCCACCATGGCCTTAACTTCGGGGTTATTTGCCCAACGAGCATCGAATCGAAAAAGAGGGCGACAATTCCGCGCATAGGGCCTGTCCGAGAGGAGCAGAGCTCTATGATCCGACCCCTGATCCGTGAAGTGCTTAACTAGAGTTTCTGGATAACGATCTATCCAGCTCTGAGAGCAAAAAGCCCTATCAAGCCTAGCACGAATACAGGCCAAACCCATACGTTTATTCGTCCAGGTGAAAGGGTCACCTTGGAACCCCGGATCATGCAACCCTAACATTTGGACAAAATTTCTGAGGTCCATCGATTGGGAGGCATTCCAAGGATTCCCTCCATCTTTTTCATTTTCACACAAAGTTGCGTTAAAATCGCCTAAAATCACGAAGGGCTCAACCAGACCCTCACAAAGCTCGCGCAATTGAGTCAATTGAATAGCCCGAATCGCAATATTGCAACTCAAATAAACGCAAACCGCCACATACGAAAAACCATTCTCATTAATCCGAGTACAAATGCAAAAACTCGAATGAAAAAACACTGAAGCCTCAACTTCAGGGGACCAGGCTACTACAAGACCACCAGATCCATCAATAGCATCAACAAAGAAACAATGACTCGAATCAAACCCTAAACCTCTCATACGGCGAGAAACTACTCTCCGACACGATCTTGTTTCAGAAAAGAAAACAAGGTCCGGTTTATTAGACCGAACTAGACCTACTGCTGGCTGGAATGTGAGGGATGGTCCAATTCCTCTCACATTCCAGCCCAAAATCCTCATGTATCTTCTTGGGGCCACTTTTGGTTGGCTTCCTCCACCATAACAGTACCCTGCTCCTCTTCGACAAATTGTTTTTTTGGGAGTGGGTGCCTCCTCAATCTCCCCTTCCACCTCTTCCATAGCACGTTTCCTGGTCCCATCCTCCAAATTGGACCCATACTCGTTCAATTTCATTATCATTTCCCCATCACCAGTAACCAACGGCTCTTTATCTTCATTGAGAACCATATTGGCCTTAAAAGTAGCCACTACTTGGCGCACTTGCCCCGTTTGAACCTGCTGGACCGGAACCTCCAGGGTCGGGCGCTTCTTTATTTCGAACTGTTGACCCTCCCCCTCAGATTGAGAGGTCTCCGACTCCACCAGATCAGCAACAATTTTCTCCAAGTTCGCCTTCCCTTTTGCTTTCAACGGCCGCTGTCCTTCCTGGGAAGTATTTTCCTGGACCGCCTTGCTCACAGCGGCAGTAGAGGAAGCCGCTTTCCCTTTCAGCTTCGAGGGCCTTGTCCCTCCCTTGACCTCAGACCCCCCAACAGTATCTTGGCCAGCCTTCCCCTTATTTTTTTTGGGAAGCCTTCGTCCTTGTAGCCGCTGTCTTCATCGGATTTTGAGATGGCCTTTTCGCCTTAGCAGGGGGCGATGGCGCAATTGGTGGAGCTGAGGTATCCACAACAAGACTTGCTCCCACCTTAACCAACCGCCGACCCTTCTTCTTTTCTGCAATTTCCACCTTCTCGCCCGGGGTAGGATCCATTGGAATGGTGATTTCATCATCCGAGTCATCGAAAAGGAGATGACGACGTCGGGGCTCCATCATGGTATTCATTTCCACAAATGGCTCCAAATCCTGTCCGTCCATGTCCATCTCCCCAGCTCGATCCTCTTCCATACTCGCCTCCCCCAACCCCAGCCCCTGTCGAAAGAAAGGCACCGGCTGCACATCAGCCTCGGTATTAGAGTGCTCCCCCCGACGCGAGTGGGCATGGCCTCGATGGTGAGCCCCCGTGGCAGCAGCTGGCATCAGGGTGGCTCCCGGGTTTTTACCCAGTTTGATTTGTTGCGACCGAGGGATCTTGAATCCGCGGGGACTAATGTGATGTGGCCCCCTTTGTGGCGACAAGACTGCACGGACAGCTTGATGCATAGGCCGAGCTGCCCCAGTGTATTCCTCCCCCATCATCACACCATGAGCCTTCGTGGGCATAGCCCCTGTCCTGTCATGTTTTTGGTCGTGGATGTTCTTATTAATCCAGACCGAGTTTTTGCCTCTGGGGAAGGGTTGTTTCAGATCCTTATTATCATAAATTCGAGTACCGAGCTTCTTCGTAGACATGTGAGGACCGAACTTCTCTTGCCTGGTTGGAGGCTCGAAAGTACAGGCCCTGAGAGAGTGCCCCACCCTTCCACATCGGTAGCAAAAACTGGAAAGGTACTCGTACTTTAGGCTCACCCAAAAGTTGCCTGTATCATCATTTGCTGCCACGATTTGAGACCGGAGCGGTTTAGTGAAATCAATTAGGGCTTTGACTTTCACAAACCAGCTGCCCCTCTCTTGACAAGCGAAAACCCCGGACTCCAGCACCTTCCCAATGGTAGCATTCACCATTTTCCTTCCAAACTGTTGAGTGCAACAGTCTTCCTTTACGTCCCACAATTGTAGCCGAAAGGGGACAACAGCAAGGTCATCATAGATTTGTTTGGTGATGACCGGAGTCCATTGACGGAGGTGGAGGATCTTATCATTGATCACCCATGGGGATCGCTTTAGCACCCACATTTTAGCTTCCTCACTGGGAAGCATGAACTCAACCAGCCCGTGCTTCGCGAGCACCACCCGCAGGCGACCCTGGATTAGCCATGGGTCGAGCACCGCCTCTCGAAGTTCCGTGGTCGAGATCCTAGCTTCTGTGAACACCCTTCCCAGCAGCGAATGGGCCGCTCGATACCTCGTGGACTGAAAATTGGACCACCTGTTGGAAGCAATGTGAGCCATGGCGGGAACCTGAAGAAGAGATTCATCACAGAGATTATCATTCCAATTCACTTCAAGAGTTGTCAAACAATCACCTCCCCCACCCCCATAATTGGAAGCAAGTTGCTGAAACAATCGGCCAATATCATGCATGGGGAAAGCCAATATGAAACCGGACCATGCACATGATAAAGGTTTACTTAAAACTAAAATGGAAGTGGTACCTGATCTGGGGAGGGCACCACTCGAATCTTGCTCCTGCTCGCTTAGTGAAGTACTCCTTGCACGAATGTGATTAATCACTTGGGGGCAAGCAGCCTTCGTTCGCGAGTTAAAAAGGAAGCCAAGACCCACGGGGCGTTTACCTCTCTCCAGCCGGTTAGGGTTTTTTGGAGTCCCAATATCAGTGGGAGATTTGAAAGCAACGGCCAATATCCTGGATAAAGGAATAATATTATTCTGCATAATAACAGCCGGTGAATTGTTTAATAAGAAATCCTTATACTTCCTAATCCCATCGATTTCGGGGGTCCAGCCGTGAAGAGCGAGGGCACCATTATCTGCCACACCATCCGGCTCCTTAGGATTAGGGTTCTGTTGCCAAGATAACGGGCTCGATTCCAAAAATTGGAGCGTCCCGAAAATCTATGAGCCCGAAATCGGCGAGATTCTCTCACTATCGTGTTGCGGACGGTTAGATGGGGTGTCTATCCACCCGTCTGTGACTGTAGATTTCCGGTCGCCGGAAATTGAGTCCCCCACCGCCCGTCGATTCACACCATCATGAGTCAGAGGTTGTTTACAATCCTCCATTGATATGGGAAGAGAGGTATTCCCGATTGCCATTCTATCTTTGGCAACCATTACGGTTTGTTTGAATACCAACTCCTCTTTCTCTTCTAAGTCAAAATCATCCATTGTAGGGATCTTGAACGCCGAGACGATCACTTTAGTGAACCGTCGACGCTTTGCCACATTGGCAGTCATACCGTCATCATAAGCTCGGTAGATTTCGAGTTTACGTTTCCTTCTTTGACTGGTCGGTCTCCGAGTCGCTATGGAAAGCCGGCCATAGGAAAAGTTCGTCGACCGACGTCTGTTTTCCACCGAGAAGCCCATCTCACGATCTCCCGTCACCTTGACCTCGCCTTCGTTAAACAGCTGTTGATTGCGCAGGCAGCACAGGAAGATTGAAGCCAGCATGGTGTTGATGAGATTCACAATCCATCGGACCAGTCGAAGGAGGGAGGGGAGAGCTTCCCCGCCTAGCATTTTTTCTTTTAAGAAGCAGTAATTGAAACCCCACATAAAGTTATGACAACAAAATCATGTTGAACTCAAATTACAAAAAGTGATGCACAATAAACTCGTAACAGATTGTCTGTCAGCAAAACGACTTTCGTACCATACTAACCGCAATGAATATAAGACGAAACAAAACTACCAATTAGAGTGAAAATTGTAAAGTAACAAGCTAAGCAAAACCGAAACCGCTCATTTCGACAACTACCCGTTACAAATACTTTCCCTCGTTTCTTCCGGTGCCCCCTTTCTCCCAAGTGAATTTTCCGTGGCCCCAAACCCTTTCCCCCTTCTATAAGTAAGCTTTTCCTAAACCAACACTCTCATCACTCAAACTCCAAATCCTAAACCATAAACGCTTAAACTCGAAACCAGAATTCCCTCAATCATGAAATCTCTATCGATCCTCCTCATCGCAACACTTCTCGTCGCCGCTGCGGCCCGCCCGGCGGTGGCAGAGGTGCAATGCAACAAGGTCGTGCAGTCTCTGATCCCCTGCATCCCTTACCTCACCGCCATCGGCGGCGGCGCGAAGCCTTCTGCCGGCTGCTGCGACGGGGTGAGGAACTTGAAGAAGATGGCGCAGTCGTCGCCGGATGACAAGCGCGCCACCTGCGAGTGCGTAAAGCAAGCGGCTGGAAAGTACTCGCAGGCGATCAAGCCGGAGGTCGCCGCTCAGCTGCCTAAACTCTGCGCCGTGGAAATCAGTGTTCCCATTTCCAAAGACACCGATTGCAGCAAGTAAGTAATTAGCTAATTTCTTGGGATTTTCGTAGTTACCTTTCTGGTTTTTTTTTTGTTCTTTAATGTTGTTTGTTTGATTGCAATCTGTAGGCTTTCAGCTCGCGGAAGGCTTGTGGAAAACGCAGGAGCATGAAGAAGAAAGGAATCAGAGGATGGAAAGGGGAATGTTCGAATAAGTAAAGCTCGCTAGAGAAATAGTGTGCTACCCCTTTAAATGAAAAGAAAAGTTAATATGTTGAGCCTGAAATATTAACAAATCAAGTTGGAAATGACAATTCCTGGTTATATGAAGTTCCAATACTTGTTCTGGGAAATGAGTGGAAGTAGTGAAAATTTCAATTTTAAAATTTTACTTGATCCGATTCTGATTTCACTATAGAATTTATGGACTTTAAAATCTTACTATTAACGAAATTAAGGTCCATGTTGAATTGATTGAATTTGGACCAAATCGAACGGAATTAAAGCGATAAGATCAAATGTTTGGGTGAGTTAACCCATTTTTTCCTTCTCCTCCATCAACATAATCTAGTTCTCTCTCACTATATTAATGACTCATTTGCTACCATGTAAGAAAATACTAGAACATGTCCTATTTAAGATGAATAAAATGTTAAGATTGATCTATAATGAAGAAAATGCTAGGACTCCACACACAAGAACTAATAACTCGTATAATTTATATTATCCAAGTACTTGTAAGTAGTAATCTTCCTATAGCAACTTTATTGTTGCGAGTAACTACTCTCTAAGTTTAGGTGCAAGTTATTTCGGTTGCATTTGTGTTGATTTGGAACAATAATCTCGAGATATTATCATTTTAAGTGTCACGTGTCTTTGTGATATTCATGGTTTACCTTATTAATATTATTCAGTGTTCGTTTCTATTTGTCATTAAATTCCTATAATTTTACGATTTTAATTTTACCCAAGTTTTCAATTTTACGTAAAATAGCAATTTTGACTGCTTTGTGACATTAGTAGTAGCAAGGGCGGATTGTCACGAACTAAACCCTTTCAAGTGACCTTAACACTCAACTGTTGTTAGATGCTAAATCAATTTTCTCTCGGCCTTGTTCACACTTATAAGTATGGAGGAATTCTCTCTAGATAAGTATTTCTCTTAATGTTTATGTATGTGTACAAATGGGGTATATGCTCCTTATATAGGCCTTACTTTAAAATGGATGGTTAGGGTCTATCCAATCTTATAGTCAAGATTGAGTATCTAGAATACTTTATATAAATATATATTATCTACAATCAGTTCACCCTTTCCTTTTTCCAATCAGTTTTGATCTTGAACAACTCCCTCCAAAATTTTTCGGTGACATGACCATCTCAATCGCTTACAATGTTGGTAAGAACGCCTCAATACTTCACCACATTTATGAAGAATAAGCGGCAACATCTTCGGTTGTCATATCCTTAAGCCCGATATGAACACACCATACTTCGATAATATGTTTTCGACCACCATGATGCAACCACACCCATCAACTTTGGGAAGGCCAATTATGAAGTTCATACTAACACTTTCCCAAGGTCTTTGAGGAGTGACAAATGGTTCCAATAGGCTAGTCACACTTTGTTGCTCCACCTCATCTTGTTGGCACATTAGACAAGTATTCACATATAGTTCCACATCATCTTGAATCTGTGGCCATATATTATTCTTCAATTTGGGCTTGTCTAAATTGAATGATAGGGTGATGACCCAATTTGAGTCATGACACTCCTTCATGATCATCTTCCTCAAGTTTTCCACCGCGCACAAAACGAACACTCGATCTCCTTTTAGTCATAATCAACCCCTCATTCACCAAAAACTGTTGGGTCTTCCCTTCTTTGACATACTCGATCATGGTCTAAGTGAAGGGATCATGCTTGACACCTTTATAAACTTGGTCATTCATGGGGAATTGTGGCTGGCCGATGGCTGCAAGCATGCTCTTTCAGCTAAGAGCATATGCTACGGAGATCGCCTTCCCCGGCTTGTACTCCATCACAATCTTGAACTCTTCCAAAAATTCTTTCCACCTATCTTTCTTAGGGTGAACTTCTTATGAGCGAGGAAGTAACTCATCACCATATTGTCCTTCTGACCCCAACGAGTAGTGCATCCATGTCTGCAAGCAATAATACACCATCGTCATTATCTCCTTCTCTAGGACGTGTAACTCCTCTTGGCATCATTCAACTTATGGCTCTCATAAGTAATGATGAGATGCCTTTCTTGCATTAAGCCACCACCCGTAGCAAAGTTAGATGCGTCGGTTTGTACCTCACAGGCCTTCATTGGGTCATGAAGCACTAACATTGGCTCTTTTGTCACCGCTTCCTTCAAGGCTTCAAAAGCTTCATGGCACCGACCCTAACCATTTCAAAGTCTTATTCTTCTTCAAAATCCGTCATGGGTGCTGCAACTGCAAGAGTGGAGTACCCTTGATGAATCTTCAATAGTATTTGGCTAGGCAAAGGAACAATCGTAGCTAGATGACCCTTGTTGGCAGCTCACATTCTCGTATTGCCTCTACCTTTGCCACATTCATCTTCAATCCACAATTTAACCCAACTACTTCACAATTGATACATCTCCCATTTTCCCCTAAAAAAAAAGATTCATCTCCCATTTGCTTTATAAAAGCACATCATTTCACAATATTTATCCCTCTCTTGTCAATTCAAAATAGTGCAAAACAAGACGATTCAAATTATCTTATCCCAATTGTTACATCACCATTTTGTGTTATAAAAAATACAATTTAACCTAATTACTTCATTTTAAAACAATTTAACCAAATCATCTCATCCAATTCCATCAAACAAACTAGTGTTTTAGTATTCCAATTACAATATGTTCCACTTACAGATTTACGCCTCTTTTATTAATAAAAACTAATAAAAGCGCAATTTCTCGGGAAAGCTCCAATAAAATGATTTTCATCTTCTCACTACCCACCTCCTCACGCATTCCCCACTCTTGTTGTTTCCAGATTAGGGTTTTCCGCTCCCTCTCTTCAACCCTAATTCCTTTTCTCCGTTCAACAACATCGTTCCTCCCTGGGGTCTGGTTCAGTCTTTCCTCCCGCCAATTCCAGGCCGCTGCATTTTTCAAATACTAGCCGTTGAATCCGCGTGGATTTTTCAATTTTGACTGTGAAATGTCGGCGGCGGGACCCGAGAAGAAGGCCGACGAGGAGAAGGTTGAAGGGAAAGGAGGGGAGCTCTTGTTCTGTGGGGCCACCGCTTGGGATGTGATTGGCCGCAAGAAAGGAGTACAGCCGGGCAACTTGGTCTCTCCCACTCGGCTCCGCCCACTGGTCGGCGTCGATATCCGCTTCGTTGCTTCTGGAAGCAGTACGTTTTCTCTTTTTTCTCTCCGGAGAGTAAATTGCGTTTGATTTCCTTGCTTATTTGTGAAGAAATGAGTAACCGGATTTTGATTGGATTGTGTTGCAGCATCGTGCCATTGCGTGGCCTTGGATGTTGATGGGCGTTGCTATACTTGGGGACGTAATGAGGCATGGCGTTTAAGTTTAACTTGTAGTAGCTTTCTGGGTTTGGATTTCTTTGTTTGCTTAGTCAATTTGTGGTAACATGGTTTCTTATTTGTGCCTTTGTGTGTGTTCTGGTGTGCAAGCAGAAGGGGCAACTGGGTCATGGAGACACAATTCAGCGGGATAGGCCGACCGTTGTCTCCGAACTCTCCAAGTAAATTTTTTTAACTCAGTAGTATGGACTGGCTTATGTGGTGAGAATTAAGAATGTCTGAAGTGATATCTGCTGCTCTGCTTCTATGTTTACCTGCCTGAGTGGGTTGTGTTCACTGTCTCACGTTGCAATTAAGGATCTTGTGTATTCCATTCCATCCAATGGAATCTAACCTAACTGTTAGAATGGCTTACACATGCTTACCAGCAATTGGCCCTGGCCAGTTTGCCGGTGGAATTAGCCACTGTTGTTATTCCTGTATAAAGTTTATAAACTAAACTGATACTTAACCTTTTGCTGCTGCCATAAAAGTATAGATACAAAATTAAACACCAAAGTGTTAGTTTTTATTATAAAAAAAGACACTAAAATGCAAGCTGATGCTATCATAAGCTCACAAATGCAAGTTGTTGTGATAAACACGCTAAACTAAGCTGTTGTTGTTATCCATCCTCCCAAATGGATACTATTTTCAACCTGAAACTCCAATTGTCATTGGAGAATGATAATCATAACACATAAGCTGAATCTATTTACAACAATGTAAAAGTCTGAATTTTCTGAACCTAACTATTCACAAACTACTGAAGTTACAGTTCATAACGCGGACATAGTTGCAATTATTCTAGTAATGCTACTCTTTCTAAGTGTCAGAATCAATCCAATGTCTCATTTTCTGCCTCTTTAAAGTACTCCCTTTAAGACTTCGATTAGTATTGCAGGTTTCCTCCAAGTTTTCAGCAATCAAGTTTGTTTCCTCTCTTGCAACAACCTAATCTCATATAATTCTTGCTCTCTCAAGCTCGATTGTGAACCAAGAAAGGAGGAATTATAGTAAAATATCTGACCCTATTAATAACACAGAGAAACCAATAGAACCAACAGAAGTTAGAGTTCAAATAATATGGAATATTCTTTCTGAGAAAGTGCAGCATGCTGAGATAGTTAGATCGGTTAGTAGGGTTATGGATGTTGATCGCATGGGTAATGCTAGATGGAATGAAGTATGTAATCAAGTATTTTTGTAATAGAGATAGTTACCCTGAGTTTAATAAGATTTTTTGATTGCCCATAAAAAAAATATTTCTGAATGGATTTTGAACATAGCCTAACTTTGAATCAATCAACACCAAATCCAAATGTCAAACTTTTCCAGTATTGAAGTTAGTTGCAACCCACATTCCAAAAACCTTAAATTGGCGAAGTCCAACACATGTAAATAATTATAAACAAGAAGCACAAAGGTTATAAATCATAGTCTAGCCTCCTATCCATCCAAACCTCAACAAACCACCTTCCAGATTTACAAATTGCTTAGTAAAGGTGAAATATGACATTTTATCAGAATCTCTTCTACGTAGAACATTAGGGAATCAAATGCTCTTCAAGAGGCAACAAAGTTTGTGGCAATCAGACAACTAATGAAGTAGTTAAGACTGTTCTAACTTTGACAAAATCACAAAATGCTTTGTGAATAAGAAATAAAATCTATTTGCAATATGATTGTCATAAGAAATTCGTGATTTTGAGAACCACAAAGAGCACTATAGTAGGTTTATAGATATGACGCACAACTTTCATCAAGAACCATAATTTCGTACCCCTTAATGATTTGGAGTTGAAGTTGAAGTTCGAACTCTCCAACCTTGCTTCGTTCAAGATAGTGTCAGCAGCGATCTGAAAGTATAGCTTCAAAAATTAGAAACAGCAGAATGATGGTCATCTTTCAGTATAAGTTCAACCTTGAAGGCTAAATATCGTGCAGACCAATAAGCATTGACTTCAAAGACCTCAGCTGTATTTTTGTAGGTCATATCCTATAAGTACAGATGACTAATTGTCACTGACTTTAACATTGCCTTAAATTGCTTGAACAAGTTTGAAATGCTGAGAAGGAAAGAAAGAGAAAGTATGGTTTGGTAATATCTTAAGGGGACCAGCCACATCCAAAGCTTCAATCAAGCATATAGTGCTTGGTCTAAGAAAGTCCGACAAAGGTAACCAACTCTGTGTGCAACACCATTGTTGCTGCTGCAAATTCCTCACCCAAATTAAATGAATGAATAATTAATTATGTTTAGATGAGGATCAAGAATGAATATAAGTGATTCCCATAACAAACATACAATTTCAGTTTCAGTGTAACAACATGCTCAAGGTGATCATCTAAAAATATACACAAAATAAGTGGCGGCGGTCGGTGAAATAGATTGGAGAATTGATGTAGAAGGGCGGTATGATTTATTGGGATTTCTGGCTGGAACAAACCGAGAGAAGATGATTGACTGATTTCCATATCTATTCCTCCTAAGTGTGTGGCTCGTGAAGGAGGAGCTTATGTGCCAAATTTATTTTCATGACATTGCCTTATAGTATTTTGTAGACATGAAGTCATGACTTTCTTGGTCAGATGGGTGTTTGCTATAAAATGTATGTTCATCGATAGATATCTTGATTTTATGTTCTGGTCAAAGTGGAACAAGCAATCATATTTTGGGTTTTTGTCTTAAGGTATAAGATCGTCAGAGCTGGAGCTGGTAGGAATCATACAGTAGTTGTTACTGAAGATGGCCAATCACTAGCATTTGGCTGGAACAAGCATGGACAGCTAGGCTCTGGTTCTGTGAGAAATGGTATGACTTTTCGCTGCCTTTCATGTTGATACCAGTATAATCACAATGTGCTTGTCACTTTCTGTGTTTCTATGCTTGAGGATGCTTTATCAAGAAGTCCACACTAGCAGATGCATTATATTTTCCTTTTTGGAGATAGCAGCCGAATGTTTCTTCTGTGATCTGACCAGATAGCTTCTTCTTGCAGAAATTGAGTCATCTCCTGTCCGTTGTCTTGTGTCCGATGTTAAAACTACTGCTTGTGGAGCTGACTTCACTGTATGGTTATCATCTGCTCAAGGGGCTACCATATTGTATGGTTTGTCAATTTGCTTGTATTCATCGTTCATGTTTTGTATTCGTGAGCAGTTCATAAGTTGTTATGATTATCTGTTGATCGTCGAGGCATTTGTTGGTTTATAGAACGGCTGGGCTTCCACAGTATGGTCAACTTGGACATGGGACAGACAACGAGGTATGTCCTTGCTCTCTACTGCTCTGTCATCTCTACCGGATTAGTTATTGATGGTTTTTAAACTTGCTCCATCACTTAGAAGTTAGCACTCGATTTATAACTTAACACAAGGAGGGAAGTTTGAGGTCTTTGCCAATGTTGAGTTCAATCCCTGCTGTTCATGGTTGCTATATGATAGATCTAGTAAGCAACTTGAGTTTTTTTAATAATTTACTTTTTGAAACGTGTTGGCAGTTGATAGCTAATGTATCAGGAATAGTTTCATTGACGTCTTTCTATGAGATGTTCTATTGCTACATGTGTGATTTCATTCTAATTTTCCTACTTGCATTGTTTAGAATGATTGGAATGATGCGTTTTGCAGTATAACACAAAGGACAGCTCAGTCAGGCTAGCATATGAAGCCCAACCTCAGCCAAAAGCAATTGCAGCTCTTGCGGGGGAAACTATTGTAAAAGTTGCATGTGGGACAAACCATACAGGTCATCATCTGCAATTATCTTTTTATGAATTTGTGCTGGTGTTGCATCTCTTTCTAGCCTTTTGCTGCTTATTATGATTTCTATTTGTCTGTGCTTGACAATTAACTTTTGTGGATATCCAGTTGCCGTGGATTCAAATGGCTATGTTTACACGTAAGAGTTTCCCTTTATTTGTATTGTCTATGTTTTTGTTTCCTGTTAGTCAATTCTGACAACTGCTTGTGTTGGCAAAATTTTCAGGTGGGGATATGGTGGTTATGGAAGGTTTGTGCATCCTGTGATCCGAACTGCCTATTTACCTGATTTAAACATATGGAGATGGGAAAAGTTAATTCTTCTGTATAGTTTTCCTGTCTCATAAAGTTCTTAACTATATTGCGTTTTATTCATAGGCTGGGACACAGAGAGCAGAAAGATGAGTGGTCACCTCGCCGTGTTGATGTTTTCCAAAGACAGAATCTTTTACCTCCAAATGCTGTAGTTTCAGCTGGTTCTGTTAATTGTGCATGTACTGCAGGTATGGGCGTTTGCAGCATTCTTTTTTCCTTGGGTATAGAATTTCCATAGTTCATCCCAATGTGTAGTATGGTGTTTTGTTAGAATGCACTTTCTTCTCTCACTGTATACTTTCAAGAATGCACTTTGAACCTAAGTGTATACAATTCAGACAATGCAATCTCATGCTTCTCCTTTTGGGTGTGGGTTAACTGTTTCATACTGCTTTGAACCTCAGTGTATATAATTCAGCCAATGCAATCTCATGCTGCTCCTTTTGGGTTTGGGTTAACTGTTTCATTCTAAGGGCCACGGAATGATTCAGTTAACCACTGTTCTGGATTTTGGAGTTCATCAACTTATCTGGCACTCCGTTGACTGCACAAGAGACTTATCTGAGCTATGTTGTTTTGCTTGCTTTCCAGGTGGTGGGCAGTTGTATGTGTGGGGGAAAATAAAGAGTACTGGGGATGACTGGATGTACCCAAAGCCACTAATGGATCTAAGGTGCTTCCCTTGTTTTTGTTCTGAAACTATGCCCTTTTACCACTCATAAGTTATAATTATTGTTATGGCTAAACTTCATGAAGTCCTAGTTTATGCACATAGTGTATTTCTATTGGATAAAATGTTCCGAATGTGCTTATTCTAAGATTATAGTGCTGATTGGGCTGCATCTTCCCTTGTAACAAATGATTTGGTTAGTAAGATGTTTTTTTATTAACGTGTCTCACATTTCCATACAGTGGTTGGAATTTACGGTGCATGGACTCAGGCAACATGCACTTCTTTGTTGGTGCTGATAATTCCTGCATAAGCTGGGGCTTTGCTCAGTATGGTGAACTGGGATATGGTCCTGCTGGACAGAAGTAAAGATCTCTATGGCAACCATATGCTTCTACAACTGATCCTTTCATTGATATACTTATCTTTTTTGTTTTGTGGTTGTTAATTTACTTGTCCTTTTCGCAATTGTTCATGTGCTGTACAGGTCGTCAGCAATACCCAAGAAGGTAGACATTCTTGAGGGCATGCATGTGTTAGGGTAAGCAATCAATTATTTAGCATGTAATGTAATAGGTTGAAGTTAAGTGAATAAAAATCTCTACTTTTCCCTTGCAGTGTTGCCTGTGGGTTGGGCCATTCTATGGTTATAGTAGACAGAACAAATATTGGCGATCGACTTGATCAGGTGAATCTCAGTAGCCATACAATACAATGAGTCCTTGCTGCTTAATCGCTTGCCTCTATTAACTTCATTCTCCTTGATCTTATCATTTCCAGCTTGATGTATACGATGGCAAAGATGCTGCCGAAGGTACAATGACTCCGAATTCGTTTCTCTTTTCCTGTTCTCATATAGCTGGTGGGGGAATCATTCTTCAGCCCTCTCAACTGATTTAACCTTTGCAGAACCCGAGGCGCCATCCCAGACAAACAAACCTCCAGCGAAACAAAACGCGAAAAAGGGTAGGCCGGCCAAATCTCCCGACAGTGCAAAGAAGCGGAAGAAGTCGTCCAAAGATGATTCATCCGAATCAGAGGACGACGATGAAGAAGCCAGCAGTGGTGACGACCGCGACAATGAGAGCGACGACAGCGAAGGACTCTCCAACGGCAAGAAGAAAGCTCCGAAGAAGAGTGCACGAGGCGGGAAAGCGCCATCAGGGCGTGGACGCGGCCGCCCACCGTCGGCCAACAAGGTTAACAACAACAATGCTGCTTCCCAGGTAAAGCCTGCTGGTAAGAGAGGAAGACCCCGCAAGTCTTAGTAGTAATGCCATGATCTTGGGAGATTGGGTGGAATATTCCATTCTTCTTCGATTCTGTACTATTGACTCACAATGTTCTGTTGTAACTTTGGAATTTTGCATTTTTTTTTAAATTGATTCCCGTCGGTTGAATATTCCATTCTAGTCTCTTGCATTTTGTTCATGGAAAAAAGGGAATTTTCCTTGGATTAGCAAGTGGACACTAGGTAAGAGAGTGTAGTAGAGTACTGATTTGCGATGAAAGAACGAGACATTTGACGTCATATTTGACCATTATTATTGGAGTGGGATTTTTCTCATTTTTCTCGTATAATTGGGAAACGAGTAAATTAAACATTAACCATTCTATTTCCTCTATTTTCTAGAATGAGAAATGAAGTGAAGTTTCCACTACGAATTTCATTTTATTGTTCAATTGGTGATAGATTAAGGCAAAATACACTTGTATAGCTAAAACTTTCGCGTTTGTGCCAATAATAGCCAAATTTGGAGAAATACCACTTATAGTCAGAATTTTGAAAGTTTCATAACAAATATAGCCATTTCCGTTACAAACTTTAACGGTGTTAAAAACTCCGTCAGTTAGGTTAATGTTAGAGTGACTAGGATGCCAAATCATCGTACACATCAACAACAAATCATCGTATCATTGCCACGTCATTTAGTTTTGATTTATAAAAATAATTAATTTTGCAACAAAAAAAAAAACATAAAAAAAATTCCTAATTTCCCCTATCCCTACCAGTTGTCTCCTTCCTCCAAACCAGGTGGCCGCGGCGAGCACAACCACCATCTTCTCGAAGACCTGCAAAAACTCAGAAGATTTATCTTCCATCTACCCCAATCGATGCCTGAGTGAACATCTTTCCCTTCGTTCTCCCTGCAAATCCCTAATCCCTTCTGCCCCAAAAAATCTGCCCCGATACAAATTCCAGATTGAGAAGGTAAAGGTCTAGAGATTCAAAAATTCTCAGTGAAGAGGAAGCAATAGAGAGATATAAGGCCGATTGAAGGATGTGTTCCACTGGGGAAGACGCCGAGACATCGATCTGGATGTTCACCTTTTTGCGAGGAAAGGTGAGAATCGGTTGAGAGAAGAGGCGGGTTGGTCGAAGTGGTGAAGCTGGGCGTTTTAATCGGGTTATTGGAGTCCGGCCGGTTATTCACGAAAGATGTATTGCATCGCCGGTCACCTGTTGTCGCCGTAGCCTCCATCCCCGGCGTGTAGTCTGAGTGCAAAGTGCAGCTGCAAAGGAATCAGCATAGAGGCTGCGATTCTTCGTCGCTGCGTATAGGATCGCAGGCCGGTCGATGCAGTGGAGCTCAGATCTAGTCGTTGTCGCCTTTGGCCTAATTCGAATTAGTAAGGGAGTTTGGGATTTGGTTCTCCTTCAGGTGAATGTGGCGATAGTCATTGATTCCCCTTCGCCAGCGTACAGCAGCAGGCAAAAACTCGATCTCATATTCCTCCAAATTCACCGTCTGTAAACCTTGCCATTCTCCTCTCCTAGCAAACTTTTTTTCTTTTGATAACTCTCCTCTGCTAGCATTTGGCCGACAATTGGGAGGAGACTTTTTTTATTTTTTATTTGTATTTTGTATTTTTTAAAGTTAAATCCATGTGGCAATGCTACTGACAAAACGTCGCCACGTCAACGTTTCTGTTAGTCCAGTCAGCTTGTTAGATGACACTGTTAAAGAATTGGACGGAAGTGGCTATAAGTGGTAATTCTCCAAATTTGGCTATTATTGGCACAAACGTGAAAGTTTTGGCTATACAAGTGTATTTTGCCATAGATTAATGTGTTAAACTTGAGTTGGTTGTCCAATGGAGTTATTTGTATGATATTTAAGATTAATGTATATTACAAAGTTCTCTACAGTTTGTTGATATGTACAGTAAACATGAGGTACTAAATTTGAGTATTATGAATTGTGTACAATCAATATATGTTCATAACCAAACTAGAGTATGAACCAGTGTAGCGAATGGTTCATACTTTATTTGTTTAATTGGCACTAAATCATAAAAAAATTGTAAAGAAATGACGCATCATAAATAAGAATATTATAAGTATAACTAGTTTCTTACCCGACTTATTGACCGGAGAGTTTCATTTATCTTTTATATCATATTGATTTATCTATATGTTTAAAATCTTTTGAATCATCTATATTTTTATACTCTCACTTTTTTTTTGTATTGGTAATGAACTTTATTAAAAATGAAAAAGTTCAATTAGCAGGTTCCACAAGGCGTGAGAAACAACTAATAAATCAAAGTCCAAAAAAGTTCAAAAGTTTAGAAGAGGGAAAAGAAATAGAGCAGAAAAGAAAGAAGGTAGACAAACAAGTTTCCACCAAACACAAAAACTCCAAGCCGAACACAGGACACTCAACAGTCAACATTGCTAAGGTCCCCCAACGTAATGATCTTGACTAGTGCTTGACCTTCTGCGAAGCCATGATTGCATAAAAGCAATACCAATATCCTGTTCCTTCCCAATCTTTCTATGTGCAGTGATCCACTCCATGATTGCTCTGATAATTTTCCTAGCAACTATATATATGATGTACAACCCGTCTCTTGAAAAATCCTCTGGTTTCTCTCCTTCCAAACATACCAGCAGATTGCATGAATAGGGGTGGTAGTTCGGTTTCCGGTTAGCGGCTAACCAGCCAGTTCAACCGATAACTGCCGGTAAGTAGCTAACCGAAAACCAACGGTTATTTGCCTCGGTCGGTGTTCGTTGGAATAAAGCTGGTTTTCGGCTAGCCGAGTAACCGAGGATGATTAACCGCGGTTACCCGACTAACCGAACATAACCGACCAACCATCCTTTTAATAAAACGTTGTCGTTCACTAACACTGAAAACGACCCCCTCCTTCGGCCAAACCCCAACCCTAATTCTTTCTTCTTCATACTCAAATCCCAGCCCTCCGCCATCCAAATCCCAGCCCAGCCTCCATCCAAATCCCAGCCCAACTCTGTCATTACCTTCGCCTCCGCCATCCAAACCCCAGGCACCCTCCTCGACGACTCCGTCTCCCCTCCCCGCCCTCCTCGACGACCGGGCACCGCGAGCCAGAGCCAGAGATAGCGTCGTTTCTCCTTGCCGATTCCTCTCTGACATCGCCATCTCCCATCCTCGACGACCCCCAGGCCTCCGCGCATCTCCCATCGCCATCCCTGCCCTCCCCATTTTCGCCTCTCCTGCGCCGGGGATGTCTCCCTTCGCTCTCCTCTGTGGCCGCCGTTGTGCCTCTTCTTCTCCTCCGCGACCGGCTGCCGTGGTGACTGGTGTCTAAACCTGAAATGAAGGAAGGAAGGAGAGAGAAGGAAGGAGTGGTCGGGTGTCTTGTGGGTTTGAAATGGAGGAAGGAGAGAGAAGGAAGAAAAGGGCTGGTCTCTGGTGGGTCTTTTTGGAGGAAGGAAGGAGAGAGAAGCAGAGATAAGGAGGAAGAAGATAAGGATTTAATGGTAGGGATTTTCGTTGATTTTTTTTTTATAAATAATTTTTAATGAATTTGTTTTGGAGAAGGGAGTGTTTTCGGGTAGGCGGCTAACCGTACCAAAATCGATACCCGACCGGTCGATGGTCAGCTAGCCGTGGTGTCACTCACGATCGGTGGTCGGCAATGAGAGGTGGTTTCTCAATTTAACAAAAAATCGAGAAATTGGTTTTTGGTTAAACCGAAACCGACCGACTGCCACCCCTATGTATGAATAGAGCAGTATTTGATCCAAGTTTCAACACAATCAAGGCTGCTATGCTCATTGCAGTTAATGATCGTAGAGATTTCACCAGAAGACAGGTCCAGAGGGATGTCGTTGATAAAAAATATCACTCCACACGCGCCTGGTATAACTGCAATCAACCAAGACATGGTTAATAGTTTCTTCTTTTTTGAGGCACAAGACGCGCCGATTTGCCAGTTGCAGTCCTTGTCTCTTCAGATTGCCCATGGTCAGAATTTTTTTATGCCAAACAAGCCATATAAAACCACAGATTTTCATGGGAATAATGATCTTCCATACCAAAGCGGAATGACACTCAGCCACCCCATGGAACCGTTCATCCCCTGCCACATGTAAAAAGAACTAACAGAGAACGACTTTTCTGTGTCCGGATTCCACAACATACGACATGGACTATAATTTAATCTAAAAGAATTGGAATTGATCACTTCAAAGAAGGTATTTCTCTCAGACTCTTCTCCACCCCGTAAAGAAATAGAGAAAGGAATTTCCCACAAAATTATCTCACCTGAGAAGGACACAGAGTCAAGGATACTAGCGTTGGGTAAAGTAGCAGCACCAGCTTGCGGGAAAGACTCTGCCAGCGACTTCCCAGGGATCCAGTTATCGTGCCAAAGAGAGATTGCGATACCTGGGCCAGGATCGACACTTGCTGCTTTCCAGAACAACTTACTGACCTTGCAGATATTTGCCCAAATAGAACTGTTATACCCTTCCTCCATCTTCTTAGCTTTCCACTCTGAAATTGGATTGGGATATTTTAAGTTGAGAAGCTGCCTCCACAAACTGTTTCTTTCCAAAACATATTTCCATAACCATTTACCTAGTAAAGCATTATTGAAACTCTCACTTTATAAGCGAGTATGCAATGGGCTTATATTAAAAATTCTCAATACTTAGCATACTCACCTATGATGCTATTATTCTCTAATAAAAATTCATATCGTGAAGGTTTATCAATTATCACATCCCATTTAGGATAACATATCAAGATTTGTAAAACCAAGACACTGAAATTTATTATATTATAAAACATATAATAATTCGTGTTTCTCGAGTCCGGACAAACTCTAAACCAATTATTGAGAGTTAAAATAATTGGATAAAGATACTTAATTAGTATAAATTTTGTTTAGCCCAAGTGAAACTTAACACATATCATATGCCTTACGATGATCATATTATCTAATCATGACTCATTTTCATGTCAATGTTCATGATCTTATATAAAATTTGTCTATCAAGACACTCAAATTTAGTATCTTATACAATATGTAACAATCACCAATTCTTGAAATTTGGATTAAACCTGAACCCATGGTTGTTGTCTACATATTGGTTTAGAATCTCAACCCAAGACACTCACATGCACTATCAAGGTTCTTGTCTTGACATGGTCATTTAGTGTATATATTTTCAACTTTTTAATGTGCATTTGTAAAATTTTTTCTATCTTTGGTGTTTGGTTCATGAAACCGTACTAGACATCGTACCGGAAAAGTAAGTGGTAAGGTGTTTTATGGCAAATTGTGGTTTAACCACAGTTCTACAGTTATTGCCGTGTATCGGTTTAACCTCCGATAATAGTATTTTCTGGTAGAACCGCCGGTACGATACGTTTCATGAATCATTTCTGGAACAAAATTTATATTACTTATCTTAATAATTGATAAAGCCCGTCTACAATGCACACTGACTTTAGGTGCATTTAAAATGGCGTATCGTTTGAACAATTAATTTATGATTTTTTAAAAGTTTGATTTTTTTTTTAATTCATAAAACCATTATGACATTTCGCATACATATGGATTCATGGATGTATTGTAGAAACATCTATTGTTAATATCTAAGCAAATGTAAAGATTTTAATTTAATTTTTAAACCATAAATTTATAGTAAGAAACACATAAATTATAATAAGACACTAAACCATAAATTTAAAATATAATATATTACTCCAAAGACGAATCAAAGTTCTAAAATTTAAACATTAATATGTTTTAAAATAAAAATAAGGGGTTATTTATTATTATATTCCTACGAAATTTTAGGAAGTAACTCTGTGTTAGTAATTTTTTTAAACAAAAAGTGATTTGAGTTAAGTACATTTGCATATTCTCAATAAATACTTTGATTTATTTGCCTAACGGAACCAAATATTTGTAGCACAAGTGGTGAACAACTTGCATCCTTGGTGAAAGGACATGAATTCGAATTCCATTCATACAAGCATTTTAATATCATGGAGGATGAAAGCATTGAACCAGCCGGCCGGTTCATCTGGCCCGAACGGTTGACAACTCTAATTGATTTCCGGACAACCGACTCAAATTATACGGTTATATAAGCTCTTTGAACCAATCTGGCCACAAAATCCCATTTCTACTGACCGAACCGGCTGGCCTGATTCGACTTTCAAAACATTTTGTATAAGCATTGTTATTTTTTTGCGTCATAATCTAGAACCAAGATGAGTTCACGAACCCACCCTAGTGCAAGGAGGCTCCACCATGAACACCACTAACATGATTGTGCGAACATAAAATTAGTACCACTTAACTATTTAAGCCTAATTAGTACCACTTAACTGTTAACCAAAAACACTACTACAATCTACTATATTAGCTATCGTAACAGATTAATCAAAGAAAATTAACTACATGAACAGGAATAGAAAATTCAAACTCGATAAATGAAAACTTTCACTATAAGAAGATTTTCAATCGCAACAACACGGCCCTATCTCTTATTCGAAACACAAAAGCAAGTGGAAACTACATATAACGGTTTGTATATAGGAGAGGCAATTAAGACTATATAGTATATACTATGTATCAGTAGTTGCTTTGTTTTCAAGAGGAGGGGAAAACAAAAGTACAACAATAAAACCATAAACATTTAGTAACGAACAAGGATTGTCACTTGACCATCATATTGAATGACGATGTTTGACTATATATCATCACGTATAAAACATGTATAACACGTTTATCATCTTAATTAAGCAGCCGGAATCTTGGGCACGAGCCAGAGATGATTCTTCTTATGCATAGTAATCCCCGGGAGCACGTCGAAGTCCACGTCCTCCCTCTCAGGGCCATGTGGCAGCTCCCAGTCGAACCCGTACAGCAAATTCGCCAGCGCGAGGTCCACCGTGGCAACGCCCATGTGGATCCCGGGGCAGCCCCTGCGACCCGCCCCGAAAGGGACGAGCTCGAAGTCAACCCCCTTGAAGTCAACCTCACTGCCTAAAAACCTCTCCGGGTAGAAGTCGTCGGGCCGGGCCCAGGCTTCCGGGTCCCGCCCGATGGCCCACGCGTTGACGAAGACCACGGTCTTCGCCGGGATGTCGTAGCCGCCGATTTGGGAGTCCTGCACCGTCTCCCTAGGGACCAGTAGCGGCACCGCCGGCTGCAGCCGGAATGTTTCTTTGACGATTGCCTTGAGGTAAGGGAGCTCCTGGACGTCGTCCTCGTCGACGAACCCCTTGGTGCCGACAAGGGCCCGGATTTCTTGTTGGGCCTTTTTCAGGGCTGGTTGGTTGGTGATTAGGAAGGTCATGGCCCATATCACTGTTGCTGCACTGGTATCTGTCCCGGCGACGAATACGTTCTGCCAATAAATCCGAAAAAGTTAATAGGCTAACTTGAAGATTGGTTAGCAGGTACTAACTAATATAAAAAAAATACATGAACTATTATCCAAGTTGTAAAGTATCTAGAGAGCACAGACTAATATTTAACTTTTGCTAACTGATATCCACCATGAATCAACTATTATCCCAAATTCACAAACTAATATCTAGACAACACAAAATAGTATCCATACAACACATAATTATTATACAGATAACACATAAAAGTATCCATATTGGATACTAGTTGGTTTGATTGTGGATATTAATTAGTAATTGATTGGTTGAATACTAATGATGTGAGTTGGATACTACTTTTTTATGTTTGGAATACTAATATGTATTATTTAGATACTTTAGTACTATTTTATAAAATCAACAAACTTGTATACTAGTTCGTACATTTTGGATATTAGTTAGTATATACTAACAACTTAAACCGTTAGCAGAATAACTCTATTTCAATAAATCTACCCGAGACTTGGCCCATTACAGAGAGAAGTTCACTTATGGAAAGTAGAAATTCTAATGATGATTTTAATAGCTAGTAAATAAAATATGTACCGAGTATTTTATTTTATCTTCAAACTAATGGTACATTGTAGGGGTGGGCACGTGGGTGGTTAATCCGCGGATTGATATCGATCCACCCGCAAATAACCCGACCCGCATGCAATGGGTGATTGATGTGGGTGGATTGCGGATTGTTAAATCTCCCACCCGCACTTATGTGGGTGGATGGCGGGTGGATTGCGGGTCACCCGTATGACCCGCATTCTATTTTTTACATGGAAAAATGTTGTTTCTTATAGTATCCAATATTCATTATATTTTCAAAATGCACTACAGTCTGACCATATACTGCAAAAGATGGAGAATAAAGAATAATTTTGACTACTATTATTGGTTATTGTGTTGTGCAAATGGATATTGGTATGCAAATTATTGTTAATATTCATTAAATATTGGGATACAAACTATAAATTATTAATTGTATCGAAATCGCAAATTATTGATACAATCTTACTAATGTGCTATGAACTTATTATAAATGTTAGTCAATTTTCTTAATGGTTAGTTGGAGAATTGCTTTTGAGGGTTAACCCGCGACCCAACCGCACCCATCCGCCACCCACCCAACCCAACCCGCATAAGTATGTGGGTGGATTGCGGGTCACATATATTCCAACCCGCTACTAAGCGGGTGGGTCAATTTTAGACCAAAATCCATCCAACCCGCCCATTGTCCACCCCTAGTACATTGGTTAGCATGAATCATAAAATATATTAAATTAATTATTTTAAAACAAATGAATGTATAAATATTGTTAAAATATTCAATTTAATACATCAATTACGGTATTATATAGGTTTTATATGTGTTTAAATATGAAATGAATAGGAAAAAATGAAACGGTTTGAAATCAATACATGAATATAGCATACTATGACTTGGTCTCCTGACGGAACTTTAAATTCATGTGTTTCTTGTCCATCATACCACAAGTGACGATTGACATCGTTTTCACATAAATCGCTTGCTAGAAATAACGATTATGAAGCGAGTGCCATGAATGCACCCAAAAAAATGAGTTCACCAAAAACGCCACCATATATATATATATATAGGTGAGTAGGTGACTATTTCGGTGCACTCGCTTTTTTGGGTGCATTCAGTGCACTCAACTCTAAAAGTGGTAATAAACATCGGCTTTTGAATTTTAATGGGTAACATTAGTCTAATATGATGATATAATATGGAATCATAACTAATCAATCCATTATTATAACCCCTTAACCTTCAATTTTGAATTCCAACCCAAAATTCCAAATTGTAAACCCTAATCCTAACTCTAAATCATTCAAATTAAAGTGAATCTTGAATGATTTTTGTACAAATTCATGTGTTTCTTGTTCATCAAACCACAAGTGATGACTGGTATCGATTTCACATGAATTGCCTTCTCGAAATGATGACTATGAAGCGAGTGCATTGAATGCACCGAAAAAAGTGGGTGCACCGAATTTTTTGGGTGCATTCAATGCACTCGCTTTTTTGGGTGCATTCAATACGCCACTCACTTTTTTGGTGCATTCAATGCACTGGCTTCATAGTCATCATTCCGAGAAGGCAATTCATGTGAAATCGATACCAGTCATCACTTGTGGTTTGATGATCTAGAAACACAAGAATTTGTGCAAAAATCATTCAAGATTTACTTTAATTTGAATGATATAGGGTTTAGGAATTTAGGGTTATGGTTTACAATTTGGGATTTTTGGTTGGAATTCGAAATTGAAGGTTAAGGGATTTTGATAATGGATTGATTAGTTGTGATTCTGTATTATATCATCATATTAGACTAATGCTACCCATTAAAATTCAATATGCGATGTATTATTGCCACTTTTAGAATTGAGTGCACTGAATGCACCCAAAAAGTGAGTGCACCGAAGTAACCACCTATATATATGGCAAATGCTAGAGAATTAGGGACTGGGTTCACCCGTTAGAGATTAGGGTATAGTATCATACCCCAAACTCCGATGAATTCGTGCTCTAAATAGTAAAACTCGACGGACGAACAAGTGTACGCCTAACATACGTTAGCCTGAAACACACAAATATATATATATATAGATATATATACGGTCACTAAACGAAATATTTACTGACTAGAAATTTACCATGAGAACGCCCTTGATGTGATCCCAATTAAGGTCAATGGAAGAACCCCTCTCTTCCTTGATCCTCAAAAGGACATCAATGATGTCTTCTCTTTCGGGTTTGGGCCGGTTTGGGTCGCGGTGCTGGTCAATGACCTCCTGGTAGAAGGTATCGAGGTCCCTGAAGTTCCGGTTCAGCCGGTCCACCATGCCGTTGAGCTTGTCCAGCCACCGCATCCCGGGGAAGTAGTCGCCGTAGAAGAAGTTGCCGAACATGGCCTGCGACTCCATCAGCATGCCGATCAAATGCTGCCGCTCCTTGGCCTCGTCGTCGTACTTCTTCCCCAGCGATATCCGGCAGATGATCGAGATCGTCAGCGACATCATCATCTCGTTTATATCCAACGGCTTCCCGCTCTCCACGTTGCTCGTCACCTATATATCCCAGAAAAGAAGGGGGGAAAAAAACGAATAGGAGGTCATGAAAATTACTCAAATCCTGACAAACTTTACGTCCTAGAAAATGCAACTCTTACGAAGGTCGGACTCCACACTTTATTTTTTAGAAATCGCTAACTTAAGATTTTTCATCAATGCGTCACAGTCTTGTAAAGGGAAATAGGAAATCATGCATGTGAATTATGGAGCACTGCAAGACGGAGTTAGTATCATAAATCAACCGGCCTCAATAATTCGAGTGGCTGCGAGAGGTTCATGTATGATATTTAATTACATTTTTCTCAAACGAAAACCAACTATGGGTTTAGAGTTTGTATAGGCCTACCGTTATATGTGTGTTTACAGACAACATTTAATATTATTGATTGTGAGGAATTGAACACACGTGACCTCAAATACAAACAAACTCTGACATCATATTATAAACCAATTGGTTCTTATAATTCGAGTCGGTCGGAAGAAGTGGTATATAACCACTCAAGTGCCCACCACATAAAAAAATGGTCCTAAATATAGCACATGCAGAAGCGTCTAGATGTGGTCCAAATGAACGAATGGCATAAATTACACATACAAGCTTCCGAAACATCAAAATTCCCTATCACCGGGTAAATTACAAAACCATGCACGAACCTTTTTCATGAGCCGCGACACTTCTTCCTCTCTAACGGGCCGGAAGCTCTGGACGCGGCGGAAGTTGAAGAGGTGGAGGGTGCAAATCTTGCGCATCTCGCGCCAGTAGTCATTGTAGGGAGCGAAAACGACGTCGAACCCGTCGTACGAGAGCTTGCGCTGCCCCAAGAGATTGGGGCGGCTGCAGAACTCGAGGTCATGGTACTTCATGACCTCCTTGGCCATCTTGGCCGAGGAGACCACGAGCCCCTGCACGAACCCTAATCGCAGGGACATCAGGGGCCCGTACTGCTGCGCCAGTTCGTAGAACTGGCGCTGAGGCTGGGAGGTGTCGAGCATGTGCAGGTTGCCGATGATGGGTATGGGCTTGGGGCCCGGCGGGAGGCGGAGCTTGGGCCGGCTGCGGCGGATGAGGATGAGGAAGAGTGGGAGGGAGAGGAGTGTGAGGAGGAGGAATAGGGACGCCATTTTTGTTCTTTCTTTTTTTTGGCTAAGTGAAAGCTCTCCTCGACCAGTCGATGGAGAGGATGATGTTGGCTTATGAGGGAATGTTTGTTGGGTGGATGGGAGGGGTGTTTATAAATGCGGCGGGGTGAGTGGTGAGACAAGCTTTAACTTTGTATGTGTTGTCTCTTTTGGGCAGCAATCGAGGGACTTTTGTGTCCAAGTACAATCTGTTTTCCCATTTTTTCCTCCAACTTTGATAATGTTAAAGGGTAAGGATTTAAAATCGGCCCATCGGTTGTTCGATCGGATTTTTTATATATTGGAAGTAAAATTGATAGACGATATTTGATGGTATGAAACTCTTGAACTATAATTTTAGTATAAAATAGTCTTTTGTTGAATTTTTCGGTATATCCTCCACCTCCGGTACGTATGATTTTTTGATACTCGTAGGAGGGATTGGAAAGCGTATTTGTAATCACAGGGTTAATGCAAACTGAGCAGGATTGAGGAGTCGAGAAAGATCGCGATGATAAGTAAATTACAATCAAATAAGACAATTATGTTTTAGTAGAACAATACGTGTTTCATTTTTTGAAAAATGTTGGCGTCTATCATCATCAACACATGGCATTGTTTTTTTTTTTAATACACGTAAAGGGTTACTTACTAAATTTAGGAAGGGAACAATCACCTTAGGAAATCGATCATTTGAAGATTTCTCAGGAAATATAAAATCGTACTTAAAGTTAGTACTTAAAATCGATAGTTAAAACTAGAATGTATGAAACGTTAAATCACGAATAAATCATGAATATTTTTCCAATCAGCCTGCTGGTATGGTTTTACAATTATCCAATTTTTTTTTGGAAGTCCAGAGAAACTTTACTCTAGAAGTGGGCTCACATGGAATGATGGAAACTTGGACTAAATTAACGGAACCAAAACTAGAAAAAAGGGGCCGTTAACCCCTGACTCTTAACTAGTATACGATACGCGAAGCCCAAAGATTCTTTCTTCCCAGAAGTTTGGGTAATGTCAGCCCAACTCTGCCATGCACTAAGGGCCAGTCACTTAGTCGTCCACCAGTACTGTCCATCAGTCAGACAGTCTTTTTGTGATGCATTTTCAGGATTTTCACCGAAGTACCCATCTTTGCTGTAAAAAATTCTCAAAAATCAATACAATAATGTTTTAAGAAGTTCTCAAATTACACATGTTTTGAGAAGATTGCTTCAAACTAAAGTAATTTGTATATTGATCGATTGAGATATTAAAAATCCGTGATCTACACCCACATTTATTTTGAGATCTAAACAATCTGGCACAGATCGCTTGAAACTTCAGTAATTTGTGGCAAATCGTTTCAGAACTCAACCATCACTAAGTTATCTACGGAAAAATCAATCGAATTTAACTTTGTGCTTTTTTAACTGAACTGATTTTTTTTTATAATTTTTCGAGATCTTTGCAAATGCAAACAATAAAAAATGGCATGTTCAACTTTTATCTCCAAAAAATGTCATTTGTTTCCTCAAATTAGACATTTGTTTTAATTTTACAAAACTTTTTGAGATCTTCGCAACCACAAAAGTCACTGGCCTTATACTACAGTGTTTTTTACATAGCCAAAAGTTATAAAAATTTATCAAAATACAATAGTCCCTATAAATCTATGCAATATAAAAAATTTGTGATGATTGAATGTGAGAGCATAAAGTTATAACTTAACATTCGAACTTATGTGAAATCATAAAATGGCTTATTTGAGGTAACAAATGACCTTATTTGGAGATGAAAGTTGAGCAAACCACATTCGATTATTTGTAGTTGTGGAAATCTATTTTTTTTTTGCAAAATAAAAAAGTTCACGTTGAACAGATGATCGAATACAAAGTTACTGTTGTTGATTTTTTACCGTATGTAACACATTGACCACTGAGGTATGAAGCTATCTATCCCAGATTGCTTAGGTCTTAAGCGATTTGTGACCAAAGCTATATGTCTCAAAACATGGGTAGTTTGGGAATTTCTTAGAAAACTATTGTATTTTAATTTTTTTTATAACAATGTGTGTACTTCGAGAAAAAATCCGTCCTTTACAAGACCAACAATTAATATTTGAAGTATCAATACCACGCTAAATTTCTAAAATTGTCTTGTTTCTTTTCAAGAAGAACGGGCTAACTCGATCTTGTGAATAAAGTGACGAGATCCTCTAGATATCGACTTTAGCTCAACAGGTTCATATGAAGTTATGAACTAGAACGAGCTAAACTAATTCTCTCACTCGATGCGGTTGATTGAAGTTCTAATTTTTTTTTCGATATTGAGATTAAATGTAAACGAATTTGCTGTTCCAATTCCAGCGAGAGTTCACACCAGTTGCAAATTTCTCTGCGATAATAAAAAAGAATGCATATGAAATAAAAAAACTGCTCGTGAGACTTTGTTACAAAAGGTAGTACGAAATTTTACTGACCAGCATGAGACGTGTTTAAAGTGTTATTCATGACAATATACTTATTCTAGGACGTAAAATTGTGAGAAAAACGGTTAATGATTTTTTCAAAGACGTAAATTGTAACACCTTAAAAATTATCAGATCGGCAAAAAAACACAAGAGAAAATCATGGATTATAAAAGAACCATTCAACTTTAAACCGGCAACAAAATATCATACGAATCAAAGTACAAAACAAAAAACAGGTAGCACTTGCCACTAAGAAAGGAAGTCGAGGTTTAAAACGTGCTAAAGGCAGGCAGGTGAGGCCAGACAAGGTTGGTGGGAATTTGCCAATCATCCCTTCAATTAGGGGTGGAAATTGGGGTGGGTGTGATTACCCGCCTCACATTTTGCGGGTAACCACATCCACAAATATAGAATTATGCTACCCACAACCCGTCTCGCAGTGGGTAGTGGTTAACTACTACTCGCTGCGGGTTGGTTGTGGATATTCACAAAAAAATTTAGATTAAAAATAATAATATGGTAATTAAATAGTGAGGTTGTTTTCTTCTCACAAAAAAACAAAAAACATACATAAAAGAAAGTTAATAAAGTGTAAAATAAATTATAAATCTCGAATACAGTAGGCTAGTTAGTCTAAATTCAAAAGAGATGGATTTGAAAAGAGATTTGAAGATAACGAAGAGGCGGAGTGATATGTTACCCGACTAACATCGTTGCATGTCACGACTCCTCCGATGACAACAACAGCAATACACAAAAGTGGCTCGATAAGTGGAGGCATCCGCTTTTAATGAATCGATTATTCTTCACTCTCGATTAATCGATTATAGTCTTGTATTGTTGGTAGTTGGTTGCATGTTGTGTTGTTCGTGAGTTCGTGGAGAAATGGAGATGAGTTTGGGTATCAGACTAACCTTTATCGATTATTCTCCTCTTTTAACGAATCGATTAATTTATCTGACTATTTCTATGGACTTGGTTTTGTTATAAAAGAAACATATACCACAGGGGCAATGCTTATTTAATAAAAGTATCTCACATGAACATTATGTAATGACTTGGTTTTGTTTTATAGAATAAATGCATATTTGATTTTGGTAGCTACTTTAATTCTTAGTCTTCCGAGTTTAACAAACTAATATAACTAATGTGGTTAAGGAGACCAATACCAATTTTCTGAAATGCTACCGAATTCTCTGAGCGCACTCCCTTCTCCCTCTCATCCGACGGCGACTCTAGAATTATCAGGACGACCACCGGATATCCCCTCGACTGCAACAGGGGGCAAGATTGATGTTGCTATCAGCTCTAATCCAGGATCTCTTAATTTCAAGGCAGCTCTTGCAGGAACCAGTCAAGAAACCTTAAGGAAAGCTCCTCAATGGACCTTCGTAGGAGAAGGAGACATAGAGACAGGCTTATTTCAGGGGGAACCAGAACTGAGGCTATCAGGAAAGTTCAAAGAGAAACTATGCCAACCCTGGAAGAAAACTCTTATCGTGCGATTGCTTGGCCGCTCCATCACCTACTCATATCTATGCTCCCAGCTACGATGGAAATGGAGACCGGTAGGATCTCTGGAAATTTTGGATCTGAACAACGATACATTCTTAGCAACCTTCGGCGACGATCAAGACTACTTGAGGGCTCTCACGGGTGGGCCATGGGTCATTCTCGACCACTACTTGGTGGTTCACCAATGGTCGCCCTCATTTCGTACTTCAGATAAACCACATAAATCAGTGGTTGCTTGGGTTCAGTTCCCGGAGTTGCCGGTTCATTACTATCATAGAGAGGTTCTATTTGCTATTGGAAATCTGGTGGGACGTACTGTTAAGCTCGACTACCACACCGAGAACCTAGAAAGGGGTAAATTTGCTCGCATAGTTATTGATCTGGACATGACCAAGCCACTTCCTACTCGGGTCCGGCTTGACGGTGTATGGCAACAGGTGCTGTATGAGAACATACCGACCATATGCTATGAATGCGGGAGAATTGGTCATACAGAGAGAGACTGCCCCACGAAGAGACCACCACTTCTCCTGGCTCCGGCGACTCAAGGTGAACAAACGGTTAGCTCGTCGGCGGCCGAGACATCGGAAACACCAGCAGGCTATGGGCCATGGATGCAGGTCGTCCGCAAAACCCGTCGCCAAAACGGGAAACCCACAGCTACATCAGCATCAAATCCGGGTACAAATAAAGGAAAGAAACAAGAATTACCCAAAGATAGCAACCCCGTGAAAGGAAAGAGTAATGTCGAGCAATCTATCACCGTCGGGGAAATCAAAGGAAAGCACGAACAGCAGAAAGGGGCTAAACATAGCAAGCAGGGAAATCAAAAGGGGAAAGAGGTGGATTCTAAGCAGTCTGGAGACGTTAAAGCAACGACTACTTCAAGAGTGTGGCGTCCCGTTGGGCTTAATACGAAAGAAGCTTCATCCAGCAAAGGGCCCATGGAATCCAGTCCAGAAGAAGCCCAACCACCCACTCAACAGCCCGCTCTGCAACCACAAGTTATTGCTGGCCCAAACAAGACCAAAATTCAGATTCTGAATGTACCTGATCTGCAATTTCAACAGAAAGAAAATAGAGACCCTAATCAGAGAGATTCCTCTGTTCGACATCATTACAAGAGGAAGACAGCGGATCAAGCACCTCACCCCAAAGGAGTTAACCTCAAAGCAACTAAGAAGACACTTCAGATTCGCAGCCCCGGAAAGAAGGAACGCCAGTTGAAGCAGACTCCAACCTCTTTACCTATCTCTTTGCAGGCGATTGAAGAGTTCTGCGTTATAGCTCAAAAGAAGAGCGAGCACACTAGTTGCCTTCCCACGAAGATAGCTGAGGATGAAGCAATGGTCGAGTCCGCGGAAGTTGAAGCTGCTAACACGCCGCCCCGCGACAAGGACCCAGAAGCAACGGCGCCTATTACAATCGAGCAGCCGCGCTCTATCTGATCCTTACCCCTCTCCTTCTTCTTTCAGTTTTTTATTTTAATGATTTATCAGACTAACTTCAAAATCTTGTCTTGGAACGTTTGTGGTGCAGGGGGAAAAAAATTCATTCGAGCTATTCGTCTTCTTAAGGAGGTGCATAAACCTGACTTCTTGATCATCCTTGAACCTCAAATTAGCGGAGATCGCGCCAACACGGTTTGCAGCAAGTTGGGATATGACGAGGTCATTCGCGTGGACGCTAATGGCAGATCAGGGGGGATTTGGCTTGCTTGGAGGTCAGATGATTTTCAAGTGATGCCCATCGAAGCGAGTATGCAACACCTTACTGTCAAAGTTTCAAAATCTAATCATCCAGACTGGTTCTTAACAAGCGTGTATGCCAGCCCCAACTACAAGTTCCATTCCCTCCTTTGGCAGCAGCTTATTCAATTCAGCAAAAATGGGGATCTTCCCTGGCTGGTTACTGGGGACTTCAACGCCATCTCCTCACCGGATGATAAATCCAGAGCTAGCTCAGTGGGAGACCTTCGAAGATGCCAAAGGTTTACTGGTTGGATTAATGAGGCTCTTTTGACTGACATGGGGTTTTCGGGACCCCGCTTTACTTGGTTCAGAGGAGATTCAGCAGCAACTCGCAAAGCCAGTCGAATAGACAGGACCCTATGCAACGATGGCTGGTTTTTAAATTTTCCCAACACTGAGGTGCTACACCTCTCTAAATTGCATTCAGATCATCTTCCTATTCTTACCAGCTTCGTCGGACAGCAAGCATCGGTTAATTCGAGCAAATTCCGCTTTGAAGCAGCATGGTTGCTCCATCCGCAGTTGGGCGAGTTTCTTGACAAGAGTTGGGATAAAGAAGCTCCCCTGCCCAACTCCCTCAAAGATATGGCAGAAAAGCTTCAGCAATGGAAAAAAGATGTGTTTGGTTCCACTCATCTCAAAAAAAGGAGATTAATTGCTAGATTACAAGGAGTCACAGAGAGACTTGCTAATACTTTCTATCCAGGTTTGCTGAAGCTGCAGGTCAAATTAGAGAAGGAGTTGGACCTCATCCTCGCTCAGGAAGAAGTATTCTGGTTTCAGCGGGCCAACGAAAAATGGGTGAAATTAGGGGAACAAAATACTTCTTTCTTTCATCAACAAGCTACTAGAAGGCGTAGAAGGAATAAGATTCTTACTCTGCGAAATGAAAACGGAGAATGGATAGACAATCAGGAAAGCCTCAGGAATATGGTGCTTCAATTCTACACTTATTTGTACACGCAGGAAGAAGGGTTGTATGAAGATTTGATGCCAAGGGGTAGATTTCCCCGCCTGCAGCAAGAAGAACTAATGGAGCTCCTTAGGCCTTTTATCATCTCGGACTTCCATAGGGCCATATTTGAGATGAAACCTATGTCTGCTCCCGGTCCGGATGGATTCCAGGCGGTTTTTTATCAAAAATTCTGGCCTTTGGTGGGGAAAAATCTTACTATGATGGCTACGAACTTCTTCGAAACTGGCAGCATACCGGAAGAGTTAATGGAATCATTAGTTGTGCTCATCCCTAAGATTGATCATCCTGAAACTCCGGCACACTTCAGACCTATTAGCCTTAACAATGTAGCTCTTAAAGCTATCACCAAGGCTATGGCTAATAGACTCAAGCCTTTGATGCCGAAGTTAGTAGCTCCTACTCAAAGTGGGTTTATCAAAGGAAGGCAGACTAACGATAACATCCTCTTGCTGCAAGAAACTTTACACTCTCTCAGAAATAGAAAAGGAAAGCGAGGAGGCATTGTTATCAAAATTGACCTTGAAAAAGCGTATGATCGTCTCCATTGGAGCTTCCTGCGGGATACTCTGGGCGAGATCGGATTGCCTAGCACATGGATTAACAGAATTATGACATGTGTAGAAAAGAATCAAATGAGAATCAACTGGAATGGAGAGCTCACCTCTGTGATCAAACCCTCAAGAGGAGTTCGTCAGGGAGACCCTCTTTCCTCTTTCTTATTTGTGCTTTGTATGGAGAGATTAGCTCATCGTATTGAACAAGTTGTCGAGGAGAAGCTTTGGAAACCTATCCCACTTTCAAAAGATGGGCCAAAGCTCTCACACTTATTTTTTGCTGATGACTTGATTTTATTTGCAGAAGCGGAAAGTGGACAGATCGATGTTATTCGATCGTGCTTGGAGGACTTCTGCTTAAGCTCTGGCCAAAAAGTCAACCTCCACAAATCGGCTATGTTTGTTTCTCCCAACGTGCATAGAGACAAGGCCCAGAGACTGAGCGCAAGGGCTGGAATTAGCCTGACCAATGATCTTGGCCGATACCTGGGAATTTCAGCAATAAATGGCAAGGTCACCAAAGAAAGATATCATCAGCTTCTGCTAAAAATCCAAAACAAGTTGGCAACCTGGAAGGCTAATCATCTATCAACAGCGGCTCGGATTACCCTGGTGAAATCGATCTCTTCCTCCATGTCTATATATCCTATGTTCACAGAACGGCTACCTGTTTCTGTTTGCAATAACATTGACAGGATAAACCGACGGTTCGTTTCGGGAGAAGAGGAAGGTCAAACGAAGTTCCACCCGGTTGGGTGGGAACAACTCACTCTTCCTAAAGACCATGGAGGCGTTGGAATCAGACCAACCAAGCTGGCTAACCAAGCAATGCTGGCTAAAGGTGCTTGGAAGCTAGCTACGGGGGATTCGACCCTATGGGTTCAAGTGATGAGGAACAAGTACGGGGGACAGAGACAAGGGCTGCAAATTCTCAGGAAAACAAAGGGAGGATCCTTCGCTTGGAACAGTTTTACACAAACTGTAGACCTCCTGCGCAAGGGAGCTGCTATTAATGTTAAAAATGGAAAACTAACTAAGTTTTGGATTGATATTTGGGCAATGCAGGTACCACTCTTGGAGGTAACTACTATGGAGGTGCCTGTGGAGGTCAGAAACAAATCAGTTGCTGACTATTGGGAGGAGGAAGGCGGATGGAGATTTGAGGACTTCGAAGGTTATCTTCCACCTGAAGTCATCAACAAGATCCGTTCAATACTTCTTGATCCATTAACCAGCAGTGAGGACACTATGTTTTGGAAGCACACTGCAAATGGCTTATTCAGCGCCAAGTCCGCTTTCCAAACCTACTTTGCAGAAGCTGCTCCTCAAGACTCGGCCTTCTGGAGACGGATATGGAAGCTGCACTGCCCTGAAAGAGTTCGATTCTTTGTTTGGCTTGCAACCAAGGAGAAATTATCCACAAACAGTCGCCGCAAAATACGACACTTAACCTTGGATGACAAATGTCCCATTTGCAAGCATACTGCAGAGACAAACGTGCATTGCCTCAGAGATTGCACTCCGACTAGGAAGATTTGGGAGGACCTCGTTCCGCCTCACGAACATAACACCTTCTTCGCGGCAGATCATACGTCCTGGTTCCAGATGAATCTTAACATGGGGGACAGCGGGGAGAGGCATGAGGATTGGCCCAGCTTCTTCGCGTTAGTATGCTGGTATATTTGGAAATATCGTAATGAATACATTTTTCAGGGCAAGAAGCTGGCGGACTCCTCCTTCATCAACTACGTTAAGAGCAAGGCTACAGGATGGCTGCAGGCTTGGGAGAGGACTTCCCTTCAGCTTGATTGCAACAACAAGCCTAATCGGACAGATCGTCTTGTTTGCTGGGGCGCTCCTCCGAGGGGTTGGAGTAAGATGAACACAGATGGTGCGGCTCAAGGAAGCACGGGTATGGCTACTGCAGGCGGAATTCTCAGGGACAGTGATGGGGATTGGCTTGGAGGCTTCTGCTGCAAAATTGGCACTGGCTCTGCTATTCTGGCCGAACTTTGGGGAATTCATCAATGACTGTTAACGGCTTGGAATCAGAACACTCAGTTTCTCATTCTAGAAACCGACTCGCAGCTTGCTATTGAGTTAATTAGAAAGCGGGAAGATCCAGTTCATCCCCACTCTACCATTTTGACGGCTATTCGCAGATTGATGGCGCAGAACTGGGTGGTGCAATTAGTTCATACGTACAGAGAAGGGAATAGAGCCGCGGACTGGCTCTCGAAGCACAGTCTCGTCTATCCCTTTGGTACGCATGAACTAATGAACCCACCTAGTCAACTTCAGCAAATCCTTCTTGAAGACACTTTAGGGGTGAGCTTCCCCAGAATGGTTGTGCAAACTCAGAATTAAAGTCTGGCTGTATTTTGTAGGTTGCGATCTGTTCCTACTTTGACTTGCCTGCTGTTAGGCTGTACCTTTGAGCCCCTTTCTTTGTAACCCTGGCGTCTCGCCTCCATTTTCTCAAAAAAAAAAAAAAACTAATGTGGTTAATGTGGGTTACAAAGTATTTTGAAAAAATAAATATAACTAATGTGGGTTTTGTGGGTAAACCACTGTGGGTAGTGGTTAACCACTAACCACAAAAATCAATATTTTGATACCCACACCCAACCCACTATCCACAAATTGTAGGTATGGATATCCATAAAGTGTGCGGTTTGCTCGCAGCCCGCAAACCAAACTTCCACCCTTACCTTCAATAATGCAATCCTTTTTGTCCATTTCGCTCATCCCAAGCTGAATAATTGTCGTCTGGAAAATACATTTTTCTATGGCCATAAGACACTTTCGAGAGAAATGGGTTGTCAATTGTCATGATAAAACTGTACTGTAAATCTGTTTGTGGCTATGAATTGCTGGTTATCATGATAAATATTGGTCACTTCCTGTAGACAGTATCTCTTTTCCATGACTTCCTTTCTCACATATACATAAATTAACTGAACATCATATATATAGTTAATCGTTGAAAATAAGCAAATAATTAAACTAAACCAATCACACAGTGCCAGTCTCCAGAACAAACTTTGCAACTAATTACAATGCGTACTGCAATGACAGTGTTTGGTCCTGCGGTGTGTGTAACTGTGTATTAGGTATTACCGTTCCAAACCTAGCTAATGTGTCGAGTTCGAGATACTGGTTAGACTGCAAGTGAAAGAAAGCTTAGACATGTCTTTGTCATCTTCCTCTTTTTTCAACTCTGGCTTGCTATTATGAGACAGCTTGAAGAGTTTTAATTTCAGTCTCTCATGAACAACATGACAGTCCAGCTCAATATATTTTGTTCATTCGTGGACTGAATTTTCTACTATATGTATGGTAGGTTAGGTTGATTTTGTCACAAAATACTTGAACTTGTTCCGTATGAGCAATACCAAAGAAGAGAAAGAGTGACTTAAGCCACCGTACCTCATATGAAAGTCGAGCATGTGATCGTACTCTGCCTCCAGGGAATGATTTTCTACTCAAGCAGCTTTGGCCGCCTCAAATAGTCGTCGTGCTAATCTTTCTGTTCCTCCTGGGATTCGCAGTCACACTCCTCGGGTTCTTTTCTTAGTCCACTTTGCTGGAGCTACGAAAGCCTCTGTTGGGAATTGTTGAAAAAAAAAAAAAAGAGAGACGTGAACTACGACGTACATCAATTTTTGTGGGAATTCGTAGCCAATCGATCAGAAAGGGAATTAGTCATTTGGCACTGCCGGTGCCTTCCACAAAATTTATAAGGCCTCCAAATTAAATCAACCATATGAAAGGGATATCATATGACATTGGGCATGGGTCACTCGACTTACCTTATGATTGTAGTTGCCTGGTTGCTCTCGTTCAGAATTAGACTGAATTCGTGTAGGGTAAAATGCATTTGTTATTAATTTGTAATATATGTGATAGTGAAATTTATTGACGTAACCAACAATTTATTGGTATAATTAAATTTGTAATTCTCGTGAGTTTGGATAACTAAATACCAATGTCATGAGTTTAGACAAAATTGTAATTCCTACTTTTTATTCGTCTAGCTCAATTTATATCGTATTAGTATTAGTAAACTTGTACTCAATGAAAAGAATAACAAAGCCAAATCACAACCCTAGCGAGACCCTTTCGGTCTACATATAGATAAACTGATATGCTTTATCAAAGTATCGAATGTAGAATCTTAATCGATCTCATATAGGAAAATAGAATTTCTTTTATAGCAAGTACCAATTAAATTGTGAACCTGATTAATACTATCACACCTCATTGATGTTTAATTTCATATCGGTTACATTGGTGAAAAACAATTAGTTCACTTCGAGATTAATAACGGCCAAAGCTTCAATGACCAATATGCCCGTACTTTACGAACCTGGCCGAGCCAAAGAAGCCCGACCAACATTTCCGTACTTGGCCCCGATTAATTAGTGTGTCCCAGCTCTGCTATCTTCCAAAGTTTTTTTTTTCTTTTTTTTTTTATAAGCATTTCACAGCATATCAACTGGTATCCGACTATTGGTCAGAATGCCATATGAATATGACGTAAATATATTGTGTATTTCAAAGAATTTAAATTAATTGAAATGCTTAATTTTATATGACCTGAAGGCGATATTGGAAAATTTCTCAATTTTTGAAAGTATGATAATTTTTTTATCAATGGTTGAACACGTATACTTGATGGTCATAACACTCGTAAATAACCATTCATGACATGCGTATGTAATAATACAGTGATTTAGTTGTATATGGTTGAAGTTTATATGAGAAAATATAACATAAATAAGAAACGCATATCCTTTAGACAATATTAATTTGTTTCAAGGACTAATGGATTTGGATGGGTAGATCAATAGATCAAATGGATTAGTAGATTCATGGATTAGATCATATGAATTGGTGGATTGATCCATGGATCCAAATGGCCTGACCTGTCTCGACCTGTTTGCGGCAGGTATTACCACCACCCGCAGTAACATGAGGAGGGACATGATGAGTATTGCTACTAATTTACCCAGTTCCGTCCCACCTTGTTCTCGACCTGTTCTATCATGATTTGAATCAATATGACATGAAAGACTAATTATGCATGAATCACAAAAGAACCCTTAGTCTCCATATGACATCATCGAGCCAATTTTGTCATTGATTAAATTCATCAAAGAAATGAAAATAATTTAAATATTCTTAACAAAAAAAATGTACATGTAACATACATAATCGAACGATAAAAAGTAAAACAACGATACTAATTATTACAGATAATATATAATGTATAAATAACTGCTTCTAGAATACAATCACATTCCCGCTTATTCCAAATTGTTCAACAATAAACGGACAGAAATTAACTAATAAAGCGCTTTTGTTACACATAATCAAAGATGGACAGAACTAATTAACCAGAAGGACAACCTCTCACTTGTTAATTCCCCCAAGGTAGTCTGTGGGCACGAGGCAAAGCGGGTCGGCCTTCGCCACCACAATCCCGGGCAAAACCCGATCCACATTAATATCCTCGGGCTTCATCCCGGCCGGCGTCTTCCAATCGAACCGGTAGAGCAGATTCGCCAGCGCCGTCTCCACCGCCGCCATCCCCAGGTGAATCCCGGGGCAGATCCTCCTCCCGGCACCGAACGGAATCAGCTCGTAGTCCAGCCCCTTGACGTCGATCTTCCTCCCTTCGAACCGCTCGGGCCGAAACGCGAGCGGGTCCTCCCACACTTCCGGGTCCCGACCCACCGCCAACGCGTTGACGTAGACGATGGTCCCGGCCGCGATCTCGTACCCGCCGAGGCTGCAGTCGTGGTTCGTCTCCCTCGGGACCAGGACCGGCAGCGCCGGCTGGACCCGAAACGTTTCCTTGATGACGGCGTTTAGGTACGGCAGGCGGGGGATGTCGTCTTCCGTGACGAAATCTGAACCGTCGCCTTTGCCTCTGACGTGGTCGCGGATTTCTCGCTGAGCTTTCACCATCGCTTCCGGGTTCCTCATAAGGAAGCTCATCGCCCATATCACCGTCGCGGCGCTCGTGTCGGTTCCTCCCACAAACACATTCTGTATAGAAAAAAAAAATCATAATTTTACTAACCACACCCAACTCAACATACAATGTACGTGAACTGGTGTGATTTGCGGATTATCCACAAACCACAAACAGCAGCCACCCCAAATCAATTGAAATATTAGTGATTGTTGTTTACCATGAGGACGGCTTTAATGTGCTCGAATTCGAGTTTGACCTTGAAGGAGCGGTCCTTGTAAAGTCCGAGCAGGACGTCCAAGATGTTCTCGTTCTGAGGAGCGGTTCGATTCGGGTCGAGATGTCGCTCGATGATTTCCTGATAGAACGTATCGAACTCTCTGAAGTTCTTGTCGAGTCGGGCCGTCAAGCCCGTTAGCTTGTCGGCCCAGCCCATGTAGGGTAAGTAGTCCGACAGGAAGAAACTCCCGAACACAAACTGCGTCTCGTTGAACAGCTTGTGAAACATTCTCTTCTCCTTCCCCTCCAGCTTCTTCCCAAATGCAATTCTGAAAATTATCGTAGTAAGAATTATCACCAGACCAAACCCTTGATTTTTATGTGTCTGTCGTACGATAGATTGTTAATAATTACCTACAAATGATGGTGCTAGTAAGGCCCATCATGGCGGCAGTCAGGTCGACTGCCCCACCGCCAGCCGCGGCGGCGATGGTGTCGATCATCTGGGAGACCTCGTCCTCACGGATGTGGCGGAAGCTGTTGACGCGGTTGGAGTTGAAGAGGTAGACGACGCAGATCTTGCGCATCTCGCGCCAGTAGGCGGTGTAGGGGGCGAAGGCGAGGTCCAGGCCGTTGTAGGAGAGCTTCTGCTGGCCGGCCTGCGACGCGCGGCCGCAGAAGTCGAGGTCCTGGGACCTGAGGACGAGCTCGGCGGTCTTGGCGGAGGAGACGACGAGGAGCGGCTTGAGGCCGATGCGGAGGGACATGATGGGGCCGTACTGCTTGGAGAGGTTCCAGAGGTACTTGCCGATGTTGGAGTGGTCAAGCTGGTGCATGTTGCCGATGAGGGGAAGGCCCTTGGGCCCTGGCGGGGGCGGGAGGCCGGAGGATTTCCGGCGAAGGTGGCGGAGGAGTACGAGGAGGATGGGGAGGAGGAGGAGGACTGGGAGGAGGAGTGGTACCGCCATTTGTGATGATGGATGGAGTAGTGTGTTAGCTAGCTAGTTTGGTGTGTGTTTTGTTATACGGAAGTTTGAACTATAAATAGGAGGGGGAGGTGTTGTCATTAGGGCTGGCAATTTGATCCAGGACTGTTTGGTTTTACCCGAAATCGGACCGGGATCGGACTGGGACCGGATAGCAAACAATCCAATCTCATATTCGGGCTTAGATTTGAGGTAAAAAATCCGGATAAAGACCGGATAAGAGACCACCAACACCTAAAATCAAGATAAAATTAGGACCGAACCGGATGAAGACCGGAGTGTATCCAATCCAATATTTTGTCCTTATATTCCCGAAAAGACCGAATTGGGACCGGATCAATTTGATCCAATTTAACCGAATCGGACATTATAGTCACCCCTAGTTGTCATATAGTGTAGAGTGCTTTCTTGTTTTGTTGTTTTATGTATAATAAAGGAGAGGAGATATCTTCTGCAAGATTACAGTTAGGCGTGGAAATATAAAATTTTTAGGTTAACATTAAAATGGTGTTTATTTTGAGAGTGAAAACATCCGCTATATTTTGGGTTCGAATTTTAAGATAACGATTAACGAAAATTTTTAAGGCTGCTGTCATATTAAATAATAATTTATCAATTTATGCTTAAGCATAGTAATATGTACAGATTAGTAGTTTGACGTAACTCTATTGGAATGGTAATATAAATATTTTTGTTGCAAATTAAAAATAATTTAGTCTCACTCTCAATAACTCGAGATGTTGGGAGAAAATTAGTTATAGATATTATATCACTCTCTAACACACTCTCTTCCAAATGAAAACTAAGGGGTCGTTTGGAAGTTGCGAATGTTAAATCGTTGCATTGTAATGAATCGCAACAAAATAAATACATGTATTGGTACAATGTATGCATTTTAATAATACATTGTTTTGTTGTTGAGATTCTACTTTATGTATTGACTTGCATAAAGTTACTTTATAGGGAAATGTCACATTTATCCTCAACTTTTAGTATAAGACAAAAACTAATAGGGATATAAATGGAAAGAAAAATTGGACACAAATCTAAAATCAACAATCACAAACTTTTAGTTGAGGTTGTATAATACATCATTTTTTGTGATTGTTGGTGGGGCCTACCTAAAACAATACATGCATTGTTTGACAATTTGACACTTCCAAACATTGTATTGTGCACAATACATGTATTCAATAAACACAACTATCAAACGACACCTAACTCACAATGTTTAAGAATGCATTATATTTTAATCAACTATTAATACTCAACAATACATGTATTCAATAAACACAACTATCAAACGACACCTAACTCACAATGTTTAAGAATGCATTATATTTTAATCAACTATTAATACTCAAATTGTGCAAATTCGAAGGCACGATATATCATATCCACCCTGTTAACCTTGCAATCATATACATGTATCTCTTCCATATACAGTGCCATTTGCTAGGCAAGTTACATTGCACTGCGCCTGCCATTGAATTGAATCCTGGACGTCAATTTTCCTCTGAATCAATACATTATTGTCGACCATGGGATCAGTAGTTGATTCATCTGTCCAAAACAGAGCCTCCCAACCCATGCCTTTTCTTCTGGGGATTGGCATTTTGCACCTTATCATATGTCCATCATCACTATGATCCGTCCCCAACTGTCACGGATGCAGTGGTTACGTTTAACTTTTCCCGTTTCCCGGGGGTAAATTTTTGTTTGCTGTACGGTAATGATAATGTGATTTTATATTGGTTAATTTGGTTAATCAATTAATTAAACGAATTAAAATTTAGTTTGGTTAATTTGGTTTGTTGTATTAGTTTGGACGGTTTGGTTATGATATTGTATTCAATGGTTAATGAAATATAGTCTTAATTGGTTTGGTAATTACCATGGTAACCATTTGAACATCTCTAAGAGCCATCTCTCATTTAATGTTCCTTCCGGATTAGGACAAGCGGACGGTGGCCGGTGGCCTAGCAGCTCGTTCGGAAGAACACGAGTGACGGTCGGGTTCGGGGTTTAGGTATTCTACCGGAGAAGACACATAGATCAATAATTTTCCAGAGCTATTATGATAAATAAATTTTGTTAATGTAGTATTTGAGATTGTGATGATATCAACTTCACGGGTGGTTTGCTTGAGTATTTTGGATGAGTCATTTGGTATCCAGTAATTTGTTTGTCTATAAAATTTAAAACAAGTTATTTGGTTTGAATGAAAAATTTAAATGACTCAATTGCGTAATATTCATACGAATGCCTCCTTTTTTATTTTTATCTCACTACCATTCAAATGTAACTCCACTTTTTTTTTTCTTTCATAAACACACTACTAGATCTTCTCTATTCGTGTCTTCACAAAACCAATGCTTTTCAATAACACTTCCCAATTATTTTGTTAAATAATAATTTTCAATTATTTTTTAAGTAAATAGTCGTTATTATTTTGGAGACTCGTTTCAAATATAAGTTATATTTGACTGTAAAATGATTAAGGAGTTGTTTTGCTGTGAAAATATGATGCCGAAGGCTGAAAGTCCACATTTTGAAGAAATTCGGGCAAGAATCCATGTTTGCAACCCAAAAATTATGTGCTAACTAACCCACAGTAATTAAGCCAGAATCTCCACCACGGGCTACGATCATGTGACTAGTCGATCTCAACCCTGTAAATTCATTAAAATCCAATGACTCCAATTAATTCAATTTAAGGAAGGGTAATGTAATAATTTTATTTTATTTTGTTTTATTTTTATTTTTTAATAATTAAAAGATCATTTATTTTGCATGTTTCATCCCCTCTGCACCTACGAGTAATTCCCGGCGACCCCTCTGTAACTTCGCCGGCCACCTCTTCCCGGCGGCCAAGGAACCGGCGACCAGGTGTGCGCCTTCCTCTCCTGGCGGTCCTTTTGTTGCCTTTCATGTTGAAGTAAACGTTGAAAGACTCTGTCAATAGAGGGTAAGGTGTCTCCAAAGAGAACTTGAGACCTTACTGTTGAGTAGTTATCATTCAAACCTCTAAGGAATTGGATCACATAGTTGGTCTCTCGATAGTGAAGAACTACTTTCAGAGCAGGGCATGTTTGGTAACTGGTTGGGGGTACAAACACATGGTTCTATGGGTTGATAGCCATCTAACTCATCTTGAATGGTAATGAAATGAACATAGTACTCATTAAGGGTTTGATTACCTTGCTGGAGACTAGAAAGAGACTCAATCAGTTCTGCAACGTGAACAATGTCACCTTGACCATATCGAGCTTTCAGGCTCTGCCAAGCTTCAGAGGCGTGCTTGAGAGACATCAGTGTCTTGCAAATATCAGGTTCAACAGCCTGTTGAATCCAACTGAGAACCATAATGTTGTTTCTTGTCCATAACCAGTGAAGAGGATCTGTGTTTGTTTCTGGAGCGGTGATGGTGCCATCAATGAAGCCAATGTTGTTCTTCGCTCCAAGGGCATTGTACATCGCCTTGCTCTAGTCATTGTAGTTGGTGGGTGTAAGCTTTTCTCTGACCAACCAGACTCCAGGTTGTTCAGATACGTGCAAGAATTAGGGATCCGCCATGGGATCAGCTTGATCTTGAGCCATGGCAAAAAAATGTGAGAGGCGGCTAGGGTTGAGGCTCTGATACCATATTGACAGTATTGAGTGGAAACCCTAAAACCTGGGTTGGATCTTACATTGAGATGAATATATATGTGGGTTTTGCCACTACAAGCCAAGGATCAGCTGGTTGTGCTTTTACATAAGATTGAAAGGTGAAAACGAAATGCAACAAAGAAAATATAAAAGCACTATTCTGGCGGGATCTGTTCTGGCGGGATCTGTTCACTGTGTTGTTTAATACAACGGTCGGCTTGACTCCTTGAACAACGTCGCTTAATGTGGTTTGCCTTCTCATTGTGTGACCAACAGATGGCGTGGTCTGGGAAATGGTGGATGAGAAATTTTCAATTTCTGCTGTTAGCTTGTAAACAATTTATAATGGAACACAACAAGCTAGTATAGCTGGATATATATTATATAAGGTAGCGACTTAAAGTCTAGTTTATTGTTGGGCACCATTTCCGTGTTGGTAAAATTGCCCAGAAATGGCTCGTGAGTTCACTCATTTTACAAACTCTGTAGCCACCAGGCACAGAGCAGTCTTCTTGTGCATCGTGAGGCCCGGCAAAACATCCATGTCCAAATCATCGCTCGTCATTCCAATCGGCATTTGCCAATCGAAAGCGTAGAGCAGATTAGCCAGAGAGAGCTCTACATTTGCTAGCGCCATATGCATGGCGGGACAGATTCTTCTTCCAGCTCCGAACGGTATCAGCTCAAAGTCCGCACCTTTCACGTCGATCGACTTACCCATGAAGAATCTCTCTGGCTTGAACTCCTCTGGGTTTTCTCCCCAAGCTACAGGATCCCTTCCAATGGCCCATGCGTTCACGTGGATTACAGTCTTGGCTGGTATCTCGTACCCACCTAAGATGCAATCTTGGGTTGATTCTCGTGGGATCAACAATGGAGCTGAAGGTTGCAGCCTAAGTGTCTCTTTTACCACGGCTTTGAGGTAAGGTAGTTGTTGAATGTCTTCTTCGTTCACGAATCCTTTTTTTCCAATAGCAAGTCTGACTTCTTTCTGAGCTTTTCCCATGGATTTAGGGTTCTTCATTAGATATGTCATGGACCAAATCACAGCTGCCGCACTAGTGTCGGTACCTCCAACGAATATGTTCTACCAAGGAAAAAAGCAAGATTGTCAAACCAATTTAAATCGTTAAGATGGTCAACTAGGTAATTTGAGGTTCAATAATCTGATCGGGGTCCAACCTATTTCAACTATTTTATACATTATCTAAGCATATATACAAATAAGATAATAATTTAAAAAATTTCTTTCTTATTTTTCCTCTCTCCCCAAGCCCCTTCTCTAGTCTCCCTCCCCTCTCTCTTCTTCTCTCTCCCACCACCTCTCCCTCTCTCCTTACGCAAGACCCATGATTTTTTTTTTGGACCATTTTTTGGAACTTGATTCTAGTAAGATCTTATCCTACCGGCCGGTCCGATAGAGATGAAAAAAAGACTCAATTTTTTTTTGGTCTTTTATCCCCTTTCAAATGAAAATGAAAGTAAGAAGAGTATATATATTGGATAAGGTGACTACTTACCATGAGAAGTGCTTTTATGTGATCAAGTGAGAGTTGGACTTTAGACGATCCACCCTTCCAAATCTGAAGTAAAACATCCATAATATCCTCCTGCTCCTGCTTTCCTCTACTCGGATCAAGATGCTCATCAATGACCTCCTGATAAAACGCATCAAACTCCTCGAAATTCTTCTCGAGACGACCGATCAAACCCGAGAGCCGATCCACGAACCCCATGCAAGGAAAATGGTCGGAGAAAAAGAAGCTAGTAAACATGGCCTGAGTCTCATTGAGCAAACTTTGAAACCTACTCCTCTCAACTCCTCCAACTCCTCCTTCTTCATACCTCTTCCCAAACGCCACCTGACAAATGATCGTACTCGTCAGCGACATCATGGCCTCTGACAAGTTGAAAGGTCTCGACTCTAACGACAAAGAAGATCTGGATATCTTCTCAATCATCTTGGCAACCTCGTGCTCCCTTACGGGGCGAAAACTCTGGACTCTGCTCAGGCTGAAGAGGTGAACCATGGACAGCTTCTTCATCTCCCTAAAGCAAGCGTCGTAGGGCGCGAACGCTAGGTCTCGCCCGTTGTACGACAGCTTCTGTAGGCCGACGGTGGTCGGCCTGCTGCAGAATGTGAGGTCGTGAGTTTTCATGACTTGTTCGGCCATCTTGGCGGTCGAAACCACGACGACACGGGCCCGGCCGAGTTTGAGGGAGGTCAGTGGGCCGTAGGTTTGAGAGAGCTGCCATAGGTGGCGGTGAGGAGCCGAGGGGTCGAGCTGGAGGAGGTTTCCGATGAAGGGAAGCCCTCGAGGGCCGGGAGGGAGAGCGTTTGAAGCTCTTCTCTTGTGGTTTTGGAGAAGGAAGAGGAGGAGGAGAGGGAGAGGGAGAGCTAGGAGAAAGTAGAGAAGAGACTGCATCATGGTGTTTGGCTGGTTTGATTGTTCTTTCGATTTTTGAGTGCTGATTTCGGAGGTTGTACGTATGTGTATATATGTAGATGATGTAGTGTAGAGTTGCAAGCCGTTTTTTGAGTGCTCATTCAGCGAAACGTGGCACTAGTGAAACGTTTTTTTTTTTTTTTACATATGGATTTTAATAATACTAGTATGTACTATGTAGTATTGTTTATGTGTAGTCTGTATTATTGGTATTTGCTCATGAATCATGATGTCTAGCTCAGGTTAAAAAACGACCCCACTGCTTAGGTGGAACAAACGTTTTCTTTCCCTTGATGTTATAGGTGGAACAAGTTGTTGCTATATATAGCCAAACATAGATGGTTGTTGTGATGAAATTAAATAATGACCTTTTTGTGAATAAATTGAGATCGAAGGATCATACCATTCGAACTTTTTTCTCATATGGAAAGTGCAACATGCAATTCGACAACGTCCAATTCTATAAACACACTCTCATAAAAGGAAAATATGAGGAAATTTGAATATCGTGATATGTATTGATTCAATTATGTCAGTGAATGAGTCAAAGAGCATAATACGCTGACTAATGTATACCAACGATAATAATTTGCGGAACAAATACCTATTCGTTATCGATATCGAGCCACATTGCACAATAATGCAGAGACAGAGAGAGTGTCGGTAGCAATATTGGCTTTTGCTCGGAAGCGGGCCAAATTAAATGGACGTGACGACGCAAGTAATGGACCCGCCACAAAGACAAGCGCCCGTGACTCCTGAGGAAAGGGATGCATAAAACACGTTTTTTTTTTTTTTGCACATTAAAATATGGAAGCGTCAACACATTGCGTAGTAGTCATGTTGTCATCATTGATCGATGGACTATACGGGCCAATTCATAAATTTGGGCCGAGCCCACTTTAAAGTTCATCCCAGCCCACCTCTTTCGAATCAGCTCGGCGAAGTTTCAAAGGCGCGGCGACGACTTCTGCTCCGCCGACGGCCTGGATTCGGGTCACTGATCGACCGGGTGATCATTGTGTATAATCAATTAATCGTTAATCTGTAAATCCAACGCATAGTTAGTAAAATACGGTACGGGAAAGTTACGTATAAAATACGTATGGGTATTAAACTTCGTCTTTTAGCTAATGTTACGTTTAATAGTACGTTCATAGTCATAAATATATTAAATTAATTGTGTTTATAAATAAATAAATATGTAAAAAATAGTAATGTTAATAATTTAATTCATTAAATACGGATATTAAACGTGTTATACGGGTTTTATACGTGTTTAGTACGGAAGCCGTCAAATGAACGGAAACAAATGAAACGACTTGACAATAATAGTATAATACGGATACGGAAGTTTTAAACGGATAAAGTACGTATGTGTACATATACGTGTATTAAACGGAGTATTTACTAACTATGATCCAACTTATTAATTAAATATTTTGAATGACTGATAATTAAAAAAGAACATTGAAGAAGGAAACAAAAAAACAAACAGAGCATTCAGCAAAGCCAGTATCAGTCAAATAATTGAAGTTCAAATACCGAGACTTACGGGAGGGCGAGAATTAAATAGTTGTGATAAGAATCTATGAAGCATCATTTCGAGGCTATAATCATGGAGAAGTTAGGATTTACAAAAACTAATAAAGTATGTTATATCGAATCTCTGTATATAAGTGTGTTGGAGTCGATATTTTTAGTTGCACATCACAAAAAGTATACACACTAATTAAGCAAAGAATTTAGCAAGAAATCAACCTCGATGAAAAGCTCGTCGTCGTCAACTATCCTCGCACTTCTTCTGCTGCTTTGTCTCCTTCACGGTGATTGTCTATATTTTTTACTGCCTCGTGTTGTTGTGATTCTCATTTCTACGTACATATGGCAGAAATTTCCTCCTTCTCAACTAATCAATGATGACTGATTTAATTTGATTTCCATCTTTGTAATGAAAAAAAAAAAAAAAAAACAGGGAACAAAGCCGCAGCATCCCCTCGCACTGATGAAACGAAGTACGGAGTACAGTACTGCAATTTCGGTTCATTCCGTGCGTCTTTTCTGCATCTCCGATATGGCGTCTGCGAGGACTCGGTATGCGACACCGCGTGCAACATCAAATTTGGGGAACCTGGAATACTTATCAGAGGACAATGTGAGCGTCGATACTGCGTATGTTCCATGCAGTGCTACTTTCCGGCCCCGCCGCCGCCGCCGGCGAATCCAGATCCAGAATTAAATTAAGCGAGAGCGATTAATTTCAGTGGGACTCAATAAATGGAGTGGCGGCAGCCTCCGGTTAGTTTATGATTACTCAGTAGCTAGCTACAAGTTTTGTTGTTGGTAGACTATATTTTTATTGATTTATTACTACTTAGCTTCCTATTTTGTAGAATAGGGAATCTAGTCCGGTACTAGCTAGTCATGGAAAAAATTCAGTTAGTTTATAATTCAGGTACTCAACATTTGTTGCTCCCCCCTTTATTTTCGTCAAGGTATTTTAGTCCAAAAACTTACCTCTACAAACAGTCACATTCTGCCTCCAAAATGTTTCTTTAGTTTGTTTGTCAAATGATCACTCAAGTCAGAGGAAAGATAAGATCAGGATACAAATATCATTACAATTTACAAGTCATTGAGATCGTAGCCAGGAAACAAAAGTCGAACCCACGAAGAACTGTGGGTGACAAAAATAGAGCGAAAATGAACCCCCTATTCTTCGATCGACCAACGAGCGGCAGATGGTACGTAGACGGTTCAACATCCAACAGGTGACAAACCTCTTGATAAATTACTCCACCATGTGCATCCCAAGTGCATGCCCGGAGTAAACATTTGTTAATAACAGGTTAGTTGTGAAGAAAAGCAATTATGGGGTTTCTAACTTTGTGATATGTAAGTAGCATGGCTACTTGAACGTTATATTTGGGTCATAATTCCTCATTTATCAAGTGATCCATTGATCAAAATACAACAGAGACAATGTTTGGACCGTTCCCAAGTTGTAGGTCCCTGCACGTTTTTGCCTTCTTTTGCCCTTCTTTTACAGGTTGCTCAACCCAATCGAATGATGGATGGTTGTTGTAAGACAGATTCAATTTCAGGTCAATCAGACACACACATCAAATGCTTCAGTTTTAGCAATTATATCAATCATTCACACCTTATAATGTGGGAAATGGTGACCTGTGGTCTAAGAATAACCTAACCACAACGATTTATTAGATGCAAATACTAAACCAAACACCCCAACGATTTAACAGACGATAAATCACACATATTCAGGAGGAAACATGAGTCCCCAAATAAGATCAAAGGAGACTCCTTAAGCTTTGTTTCATAAAGGACATGAAAACCCTAAGGAAACAATTGTCCTTGGCAATTAAAGCAGCAATTTGTAGCAAACCCTGGCAGCGGAACCCAGAAACATAAAAAAAAGCAAAGGCTTTTATGTTACCAGTCCGAATTGCATTATGAATTGAACATGGGGTGAAAAGAAATTGAGGAACCCAATTGGATGGTTTGGACTGCCAATAATGAAAGAGGCAATTGTGGAAGATAGAAAATATTAATAGAGCACTATTAGAAGCTAATCAAAAGTTCAGAATCCACAGTTTTTGAACGGGTCCGCTATGGAAAATCATCGTACAAGAACTAAAGACGAAGTGCTTGAAACCAGGTGCGGACCACGGGTGTTTAGGGGTGTCCCCGGACACCCCTAAATTTTGGGAAAACGATTATCCAATCCCCGGTAGTAATTTACGTATTGACAAAAAAATTATAATTGATAGTCGGGGACACTCCTAAATGTAAAAAAGTGATTATCCTACTCTCATCTTTTAGTTTGAGTATAAGAATATAAGTCTTAGTTTGGGTAATTCAAACCTAGGACACTTTTATTATTGATAAACATAATTTTCATTAGACTACAACTCATATGTTATTAAATTTTAAACACTGTGTAATAGTATAATGGCATTCTCTAGCTCTAATTATTTTCAAAATCTAACAATTAAACAAATTTTAAGCTACCCTTAATTTTTATTGATTTATGGTTGTACAACAAGTATTGAAAGAGTCTTTTCAGTTTTGGATTACATCAAGAATAAGTTTAGAAATTGAATATGTGATCAGTTCGTGAATGATTGTCTAATATGATATACAGAGACAATTTTTTTTTTGAATAGTGTAGACCCCAAGTGTGTTCTACAATCATTTTTTAATATGAAAACACATTGTGAATTTTTTCAAACTGTATGAGTAAAGTATTTCTTATTTAAATATTTTTTATTTTTATTAATTATTTTAAAATTATTTGTATTTAATTTATTTTTAAAAGAGGACACCCCTATGTAAAATTTCTGTGTCCGTCACTGCTTGCAACCCACTTACCATCTTTGCTTGAACTGTTTTCAATGTCGATTTGCGGCTGCCACAGCTCCTTGAATTCGGACGATCCACAATCCTGCGCCATATTGTTCCCTTCTGATAACAAACAATACTGGGGGACTGAAAAAGGAACATATGCTTGAAAGTGGTCCAAGAGTAACTTCCGTGCTTTTCATCAAAAGCAGATGTAGTTTAGAAGGGAAGCCATTAACAGAAGCATCAAAGGTTTCAGAAGAATCAATTAACAAAGTACCAAGCTGAGTAAAATATACACAAGAAAGTATTAAGAGAGGTTCAGAATGTCAGAATACATTCTCCACTCTTTTTTGGAGCATCTCTGGAGCAGCTGATACTGACTTACAGTTTACAAACACCAAGATGAACACTGCCGTGAGAACACCAACCAATCCCGTTACTGCCAAAGCCGCTGTAGGCATGGGGCCCGAGAGCCCAAAATTCTGCAAGTAAGCAATGGAAGAAGCTTGAATCAATATGCTTGAAACGTTGCAGTACACCATGAATCCATGATAATGTCTGTACATATATCAACTGTCATGGTGGAAGTGGAACTACAGCGCATTACCTCAAGGAGGCCTTTCCCTGTCAAAATCTCAACCGTGATGGCCACAACAAAGCCTACCATCCCAATCCGTCCTAGCCATACGTCCAATCCGGTATCCTGGGTGCTTTGCTCGCTTCTTACAGAAACTAATGCAGCTCTTCTTGCAGATTTTGCCTTCACAGTCCGGTTCTAGATATCACTGCAAATGAAAGAAGACGTAGAAACCACAACAAATGCCACACCTTTGAAGTCAGTTTTAAGCTTTTCCTTCAATACAATTCAGCCCAGTTCCCAAGCAAAGCAACCAAAACATAATAAATAGTCATATCCATGAGAAATTTGTGTACATGAAGCTGCATCATCTCATCGAAAGATGTACGTTCTTGGAAGGAACAGCTACAACATGATGCGCCAAAGATGCTATCAAAGATCAATATCTTAAAACAGAAACCGCAGAATTGGGGATTCCAGGATAAAGTACAGTCAACCAGCCATTAATTCTAGTTTCCCCTTTGGAAAATGACTATTGATTCTCTCTTGTGAAATCCTAGTGACTAACGAATTCCCATCTCTAAGTCAAGGGAACCAAGTTCAACTGACGTTTGAGGAGCAAGCAAATGCAAGCCGAAGTGATTTGAAAAGGAAGATGAAGGGAATCTGATTTAAGCCGAGGTATGAGATTTTTAGAAAGGGATTTGGTGAATAGCAGAACCCTCAAAGAGTTTCTCAGTTCTGCTTTCGTTTATATATCAGTGAGCTAATTCAAATTAGCCCGCTAGTCCACGTGTCTCTGCCTTATAGGCCATTACAAGAAATAAATATTGTTTAGCAACGGCTAACTGCTGTAACATAAAACGACATAGTTTTACTCTCTGAAACTTAAACAATAAAAGGAAACGTTTCTGACACAGGAAACGTATTCATCTCGTAGCAGCCAATCCTTTCTTCATCAGGACTCCTTCTTCTTCTTCCTGCAACTTCTTCTGGTCAGCACTCTTTCTTCACACCCCCCTTCAAGTTGAGGATGGCATTGTCACTCCCAACTTGCATAGCAGATCCTTGAGACGAACCCTGTCCAGACCCTTAGTAAACAAATCAGCCAGCTGATTAATTGTACTGACATGAAACAACTTAACCAAACCCATTTTGATCCTCTCCCTGGTGACATGCATATCAATCTCTATATGTTTTGTCCTCTCATGGAAAACACGGTTTTCTGCAATATGTATTGCAGACTTGTTGTCACAGTAAACTGCAACTGGTTGTGGTATTGTAACTCCCATCTCTGCAAGTAAAACCCATAACCAATCCACTTCACACACAAGCAATGCTAAGGCTCTGTATTCTGCTTCTGAGGAAGACCTGGATACTGTTGTTTGTTTCTTCGTTTTCCAGGTGAGCAGTGACTTCCCCAAGAAGGTACAGTATCCAGTTGTAGACCTTCGTGTATCAGGGCAACTTGCCCAGTCTGAGTCACAAAAACCAACCAGCTTCAAGTCTGCATCACTGCTGAAGTGTATTCCCTGATCTGGACATGACTTTATGTACCTTAGCACTCTAAAAGCTGCTTGTAGGTGTCCTGTACATGGCTGCTTCTGAAATTGGCACAGTTGTTGCACTGAGTATGTCAAGTCTGGTCTTGTGATGGTAATGTAATGTAGCCTCCCCACCAACCTTCTATATTGCTCTGGATCTTCTAACAAGTCTCCTTGTTTTGCACTAAGCTTTACCTTTGGATCTGATGGTCTTTGACACCCCTTTGCATCCAAATATCCCGTGTCTGCAAGTAAATCCATGCAATATTTTCTCTGACAAACACTAAGACCAGTAGCAGTCCTGTTTACCTCCAATCCCAGGAAATAGTTTAGAGGTCCAAGCAATTTGATCTTGAACTCCTTACTCAGTGCCTTCTTGATTTGGTTTATATCCTTCTGTGCATCCCCTGCAAGGATAATATCATCAACATACACTAGCAGCACCATTGTTCTTCCTTGTACAGACCTAATGAACATAGAATAATCATACATAGATTGGGAAAAACCACTCTTGAGCAAAAAGGCAGCCAGTTTTGCAAACCACTGTCTTGATGCATGTTTTAATCCATATAGAGATTTCTTCAGTCTACATGCCATTCTTTTAGAGTTTCCAGCAGGTAATTCTACTCTCAATGGCACTTTCATGTAGACTTCTTCACACAAGTCACCATTCAGGAATGCATTAGACACATCTAGTTGTTCCAATGTCCAGTTCCTAACAGCTGCTACTGCCAATAGGGCTTTTACAGAATTTATCTTGGCCACTGGAGAAAAAGTGTCCAAGAAGTCAATTCCATAAATTTGTGTAAAGCCCTTTGCCACCCATCTGGCTTTATACCTTTCAATCGATCCATCTGGTTTCAGTTTGAACACCCATTTGCACCCAATAACATGTTTGCCTTCTGGTACTTCCACTATATCCCAAGTCTGATTGGCATCCAATGCTCCCAGCTCATCTTGTACTGCTCTATTCCACTCAACTGATTTAATAGCTTCATGGTATGATGTAGGTTCAACATGTGACAAGTCACTTAGAGCAAAAGCTCTATCTGCTGCATTAAGATGATCAACCTTCAAAACAACAGGCTTGTACAAGTGGTAGTAGCTCTAAAGGCACCAAACTTCAAACTGGGATCGATCTCATAGTCATTTAGTCTTGGAGGAAGGACTGGAACTCTTGAGGATCGTCTTACTGGTGGTTCAAAGTCTTCCTGAGGCAGCAATTCACAATCTTGTTCACCATGATTAACAACAAGTGGTGAAGAGTTTTCAGGAGGAATTTCAGGATCAGTTTCCACATCAGTATCTGCTACTTCTGAACTTGTGACCCCCCTTTCAACTGAGACTGGTTCTGGGGAAGGAGACTCAGGAGAACAAGGTGAAGGAGCAGAAGGGACGGAGATGGGAGGTGCATGTGAAAATGAAGAAGGATCAGGAAAAGAGGAAAGAGGAGAAGAAGAAGAAGAATCAGTAGAATCAGTAGAATGCCTAAAAGGCAAAATCATCTCATAAAAGACTACATCCCTGGATAGAAAAACTTTCTTCTCTTCCAAGTCAAGTAACTTGTAGCCTTTGACCCCTGTGGGAATGCCAAGGAAGACACATTGTCTGGCACGAGGGGAGAATTTGGTTCGATGATGACTTAATGTGCTGGCATAGCACAAACTGCCAAAGACTCTTAGATGACGCAGAAATGGAGGCTTATGGTAGAGCAACTCATAGGGTGATCTATTTTGTAAAAGTGGTGTAGGCAGTCTAGTCATCAGGTATACAACATGTAAAATGCAGTCACTCCAATAAAGAAGTGGGAGTCCTGATTGGAACCTAAGTGACCTAGCAACATTAAGAATGTGTTGGTGTTTACGTTCAACCCTTGCATTCTGTTCTGGGGTTTCAACACAGCTCATTTGGTGTTCAATACCCTTCTCCTGAAAGAACTCATGTATATGAAACTCTTTACCTTGGTCACTGCGAATGACCTTAACATCAGCATTAAACTGATTCTTAACCAAAGAACAGAATCCTTGCAAAAGTCCCCTTGTCTCATGCTTACGTTTCATAAGGAAAATCCATACTGGTCGTGAGTAGTCATCCACAACAGTTAAGAAATAGGCATAACCATCATAGGAAATAACAGATAAGGGGCCCCAAATGTCTACATGTAATAGTTCAAAGGCACATTTTGCAATATTGGTGCTAATGGGGAAAGATAAACGTTTGTGTTTGGAATAGTGACATACATCACAATGATAAATCTTAGAATGAGTTATAGTGGAATCAGTTTTCTGTAACATTGAAATCCTATCACTACTAGCATGCCCTAGCCTCCAGTGCCAGACATCCAAGTTCTGTGGTTTGAAATTGAAAGTAGTGGCTGCTGTGAAGTGTGATTCTGGTTCCTGGACTTGGTCTGATGAGGTGAAAGACAGGTAGTAAAGGCCTCTATGTTCTCTTGCTAAACCAATCATCCTCGAGCTTACTGGGTCCTGAATTTGGCACAAGTTGGAGTGAAAATGTAAGACTAGAGGTTGGTCATGAGTAAGC